TTCTAGCGATAAATTTGGTATCGAATATTTTAAGACACTAGGTGGATAATGACATATCGTAAATAAGTAATACATTCTTCACGAAGTGACTTGAGTCATGATGTAACTCTTCCGTGACGTATAATGTATGAAAAAACAAAACGCGTCCAGCAGAAACCAGTTATGCTCAAACAGTGATTGCGAGCGCAATTAAGACAACGGGTGTTTCAGGCGCATGTTATAATAATTATATTTTAATAATATTAATAATACCAGTAATATAATAATAATGATAACTAATAATTTTATAATTACATTTTCTATCTTGATCGAAACAAAGAGAATTTCTAATTAAATTATTTTAAATAAATATATATTATTTATAATTCTATAATTCTATAAACATATATAAATGTATGTAAAATATATCAAGTATTACGCGTTTTCTCTCACACATGATTTCTGAAGACATTTGGAGTCGATTTTTCTCCAGAATAACAAAAAGTTGGAGAAGGTCGAAACGTTCTAGAGAATTGTTGATAACATTCTATACTTATCCTTCATATCTTTATTTTCGTAGCATGATTATAATCTCATCAAGAAACTGAAATAAAATTCGAGCAAAAGTAATTTATTGAAAGAAGAAAATACTAATTAGCATACAAATATATCTCGATACGCGTGGCAAAATATCGACCCAGGAAGCATGATGAACAAACGCATTTATATTTCTTATCAAAGAAATGGCTTTTAAAATATAAGATAGCAATATGTATATTACTCTTCTAGAGAAGTACATTTGTGCGATTAAAAATATTATAATTTAGAATTAAAAATATCATAAAGGTCAATATTTTAATACAATGTGTTAAAATGCTCCGAACTATATCATTGCTATTTTTAAATTAAATTTATAACTAGATATATATTATCAAACCATGTTATAAGCTACTAAACATAAGCTACTACTAAAGTATTTTCTACTCTCTCTTTCTCATAGTCTACAACAAGAAATGACACAACTATTTTTGGCAAGCTTCGCGAGCATTAGGGACCGATAAAGAATGATTCGCGTCACTTTCAAGCATAACAGCAGATGTTGTACTAGTTAAATATTCTTCCGATCGAGATAAAAGCTCGATCCTTACCTAATCGATGATTTTGATCGTCCTTTTTTTCATCGTACTCTTAGGGACGGTTCGTTGTACACGTGGCTGGATTCTTCACTCTGCTCTTGCTACATAGATTCGTCGCACACCAACTTACACACGTATTGTATACAAACATACATACAACGGAGAAAAACAACTGGCCACGACGACGTCTGCGCGAGAACTGAGTCTGCATTGAGCGTCACGCCGCTTTTGCATGCAATCGTCGACTGCTCAGCCAAGAGCTAAGGGCCAGGTACAGGGGAATTTAAAGAGGGGAGAATCTCCTAGAGGAATTCCCGCTCTAGCTTTCGATCATAAGACCTTCATATTTTTTAGATAAATGTGATAAATGTAATCGTAGTGTGAATAGAACGTTAAAGAAATTGCTCATATTAATATTTTTATCAGCATTCTGATAAATTGTGAAATTGAATGTTGTGGAATTAAATGTAATTTAATTTCTGATGTTCTACACTGGTATTTTACCGAGATATTAATGATTTCAAAGAATCATGGCTTATAAATAAATCACAATGATTGCTGGAGTTATTATATTAAAAATAAGTGCGCGATAAAAGCAACAGATTTAAATTTATAATACATACATAATTAATTATCTGTTCAATCAAGAATTTAAATCACATAATTCAATTTTCAAGTAAATACATTTCATAGAGCTTTCGATCCTGCTCGTTATGAAAACTGGAATAAAATTGATTTCTGCTATTTCTTTGAATCCATCTTCGAAAGTTGATGGCACATAATTTTTCCTACATATAAGACATATAACAATTTTAATATTACTAAATATTGAATGTTAAACACATTAACTGATAAAATAAATTTTTGTATGCCTTTTCATTGAGATCAAATTAACTTATGCGTGTCTATGTTTATTCTTAACTTTTCTTTTAATTTTGACAGTCAAATTATTACAATATGAACAAAGATTGAAAGAAATATAAATTAAAAAATATAATTTGATGAAAAAAACATACTAAAGCTCGACCGTAATTATATACTTTATTTTATACATGATTTTATAGAAGGATATATGCGTATTGAGAAAAAGAGATATATAACAATAAAAAATATATATGCATAAAATCCACTTATATATAGAATTTATAATGATCTCACTGACCGGAATGTGGCTTAGATCAATCAACTAATCGCGAAACTATACAAAAGATAAGATATTTAGATCGTATACAATAATGAGAGATACAATAACACATAAAATATAATTTACAAAGGAATTTATAAAAAAAGAATCAATTTTATACACAATTACCTTATTATTACACTTTGTATTTTCTATACTTGTCGTCATAATAAAACATCTAATTGGAACGTTTCATTTCTTGGACATCTCTGTATATCTTTGTCTTGAGGTGGGATCAGAATTAGCATTGTCTATAACTACGCTTTTTCCTTGATTTAAATATTGTTCGACTGCAGCAATGCGTTTTTGCCAGCTGCCTAAAGTACACAGTCATACGTGTCGAAGTGGGGTAGACCACGGCTCTCAGTTCGCGGCTCTCAATCCGTGGCTCGATCGAGGTGCTCATACAGCGGCGCTCAGCGCCAATCTTGCGTGAGCGGATGTCCATGCTATTTAAAGATTGTTCTAGTAACGGCTCGCCCGTTACAACAGACTAACCAATATTAATTAAAAGTATATTATAACAACAATAAAAATTACTTTTGATCAATGTTGAACAAATGATGCTGTATAAATTAATAATACAGAATAATACTCTGCGCCCCAAGATATTGCAAAATATCGCATTGTAATTAAACCGAAACTATCTCTAAATAATTAATATTACACTGTGCCCCCAAATATCGCAAAATATCGCATTATAAATAAACTTAAATTATCCCTAGATACAGATTAATATTCTTGCGCCCCTAAATATTGCAATATAACTAAACCGTAACTACTCCTAGAAACAGAATATAACACTGCGCTCTTAAATATCGAAAAATATCGCAATATAACTCAACATAATCTACAACTATATAGATAATATAACATTGAGCTAACAAATATTGCAAAATATCGCAAGAAACCTATACCTAAACTACTTCTAGATAGATAAATCGAGAATATAACTCTGCGCCTAAAGATATTGCCAAATATCGAGAGATATCACGAGATATTGCAAAATATCGCTAGATATTGCTAGATATCTTTTTTAAGAAATGTAAAGCCTTATAACAATATAAACAAGCGTTAAACAAGAGCGCGCTATTGTTTTTGTAATACAACTTTGTTATCATTCGTACAGCGACACTCGACAACAAAATAGTAATACGAAATATTTCGTATAATTGTTAGATTCTTTTTCTAGCCATCGCAATTAATATCTAAACATAATTAGCTATAATTATTAACTAATAATTAATTAAATTTTGACGACATGAAATTGTATCGCGACAATAAATTTTTATGGAAGAGCAATCATTCATTACCACAAGAAAAAATTGAAACAGGAGGAATAGAAACAACTTTTATTATGGTTTTTCGATTATCGATTATTATGAATAATTATTTAACAACACTTATAGTCAAACAATTGTTTAAATTTTTCTAAAATGTAAACATAAATTAATTATTAATTATTATATAATATTATACAATACTATTATACATATATACAATAATATTATACAACATTATTTAAACTATATAACCTATACGAGTATCAATAGTATACAATAATACGCATTGCTGGAGTAAGTAGCGAATGAGTTTGATCTCGTGTAAAGGTCGTGTGTTGCTCTTTTATGATATAATAAAATGCATATTTTGTATAATAATTTCGCGATCGAGCGTCTCGTGCAAAGTGATGCACGAGACATATTATCGATTTATTCGTCGCGATTTCTCATGAATTGAAAGCGCGATTTATCTTGTAATTTAATCGTTAACTTACATCGAAGCTTTATCTATCTTTTTACGTTTTTAATAATCCGCGCAAAATGCGCTAATAGTGTAAATATTTTTTTTCTATAATATAAAAAGCGATCGATAATTTTATTAATTGCTGTTTTAATCACCACTGTTTACATTATATAAATCTTATTAAACTCTACTATTACATCGATTATTACAGGGACTTCGATAAAATCATCCGTTTCGTTATTCAGTATTAAATGTGGTGATAACGTGATTTTTAATTATATTTTAAAGCTTATAAAGCTCATTTTATCTTAATTAGCTAATCATGCGCGAGATAAAATATGTAATCGAAAAAATGATCAATAATTTTATTAATGATTCTTTTGATCACGATCATTTACGTTACACAAAATCTATTAAATTCTATTACTGCATATCGATTATTAATAATAAATGCCGCGTAATTAATTATTACTAATCAGTCTTGTCTAGACTATGTAAAAATTTTTATCAAATTTTATATTATACGTATATTTTGCACATTTTCGTGTAATAAATTATTTCATCTAATAAATTATTTTGCATTATTTCAAATTATATTTTACATTAAATTTTGTATTAAACTCAGTACTGAAAGAAAATAAAAATAAAATAAAATAAAATAAAATTTTTTCCTCCTCGATGTTGAGAGAGAAATCGATATAATTTTAAAATTCTATATAATTACAATTATATTTTAGCTATTATTTTCAAGAAATATCAAATATTTTCGATAAATATATTATTGACTAAGTTATAAAATAAATTTGTTTAAATTGTTAAATTCACATTGTGATATTATATTGCAATTTCAATCGTCAAACCAGATATTTTTTTATTCGAAATAAACATATGCTGAATATTAAAGTAATGATCAAATATTTACAGTGTGTAAATATTATCTTAGATATATAATCCTTTTCAAAATAAACCTTGTTTTATGTCATTGTCTCAATTCATTTTAAGTTAACACAAGCTAAGTTGACTAAGTTACACTTTACTATAAGAGATTTAAAGATATTTATGATTTCTAAAAGTGTATAAGTAAAAACGCATAAAATAGGAAAATATAATAGTACTACGACACATTATGGAAGAACTTGACATTCTGGCGAGAATAATTTAACGAAACAATCATTAAGTAAATGACATAAAAAAATATAATTTTCTGTAAACGTTCTAGATACATATTAACATCGCAAATTATAATATTCTGGGCAAGAAACGATTACATAAGAATATTCCGAAGAAAGTCGTACAATATATTCTTTTAAGCTTCTGGAAATATAAGTGAAATTCGTCTGCATGTAAATGTAATAATATATGTATTCTTTATTATATATTCTTTCTGTTCTTTTTGTTTTACAAATATATCATAGACATGTGCTTTTACCTTGAGTGTGAAAAGCGGAAACATAAAAAAAATTCAATTAACAAAGATTTATTCTTAAAAGATTCGTATGTTTCGTTATGTTTTACCATATTTGTTTAAATATGATTGCTTAGCTACCTTGATAAGTTGATCACACATGCCTGGACCGGTTTCTCTTACTAACGAACTGAATTGACTGTAGCTGTTTTGCAGTAACATATGAGGGTGATCATATTCCTATCAGAGAAATTCCCATTATAAATTATAATTTTATAATTACATCCATCTTTCATTCCGATTATTAGAGAATAAATCATATTATTATTAATCAAATATTTGAAATTAAATACATTATGATTATCATGCACGAATAGATGGATTATATATTTAGCACTATAGTATAAAACAATGTAATGAGAAACTCGAAATATAAAATGCCCTAAGATTTCGGTTTTTTCGAAAAGAAATTGGATAAATGCAATACATTTTCCAGGTAATAAGTTATACTTACAACTATATGACCCTTATCCATCACTAGAACCTTATCGCTATCCATTATGGTGTTTAATCGATGCGCCACCGTAAGCATTGTGCAAGTCGCAAACTTTTTCCTAATAGTGCGTTGAATCAGTGCATCGGTGTGAGGATCGACGTTCGCGGTCGCTTCATCCAGCATCAATATACGATTGTTTCTCAAAATAGCTCGCGCTAAGCATACTAATTGTCTCTGACCGACACTGTAATTGCTACCTCTGTCAAACACGCGACTTTCTAAACCATTCCCGTTAATGCCGACCGCATCTTTCAACTCAACCTAAAATATATATATACATTGCGAAATAGATATATAATTACACAATATAATATAATTATATTTATTCAATAAGATGCTTTGGAACTTTAGAGTTTTAAAGTTTGAATGAATTTTGGGAAGATTTTAGAAAAACACTTGAATAAAACTTGAAATTATAAGATTCTGGGACTTTAAAACCTTGAAACACAGAATTGAAATATCTGTGAATGTTGCAAAATTATCTTGTTAATTACAATTTTGCTTTCAAATTAAAAATGTTGATCAAACCTCTTCAAGTGCTTCCCACAAATCCTTATCGGGGAATTCATCGAAAGGATCCAGATTGCGTCTCAAAGTACCTGAGAATAATACAGGATCTTGAGGGATGATAGATATTTTGCGTCGCAAATCTTCCAAGGCAATCAATCCCGTGTCTATGTCATCGATCTCAATGATTCCTTCCACTTTCGCTAATCGAAATAGAGCTGATATTAAAGATGATTTTCCGGCACCAGTTCTTCCCACGATGCCAATCTACGTGTAATATGTAAAATGTAATTGTAATATTCTTAATTATTTTTAATATTTTTATATTAATATATATTTATTTTATACATATATATTACTTTCATATTTACTTTTCATTTCGTTGACAATTAAAAATTTGGATTAAAAGGAAATTAAAAAATTTTTTGAAAAATACTTGATATTAAAAATTAATTTTGTAGTTTTTTAAAGAGAATGTAGTGCTTTCTTTCCGCTTAATTATTATCTTTTTTACAGAATTTCTTCTGAGAAAAAAAATATTTTTCCATAAAATCTTCGTACCTTCTCTCCGGGGTAGATCACTATATTCAAACCCTTAAGAACATGCGGATCCTCGTCCGCGTAACGCATATAAACATCCCTGAACACGACGCTACCTTTTTCGGGCCATCGTTTGGGTGCATTGTCCGGCAATACCAGATTCTCCTTGTCTTTCTTCTTCAAGTATGTCCCTCTATTTCTCAACTTCGGCTCTGGCGCAAGTTGAACATATTCGAGCACGCGTTCCACCGCCATCATCTGATTAGCTACCTCGGCGCTCCGTCGCATTCCCCATTGAATTATCCATGTTATTCCCATTATCTGAGTAATAGCCAATCCAACTTCGCCACCAGAAAATGCTGAAATAAAACAATAATCAAAGTTTTTATAAATAGAGCAGTTTATAGATGAATTTCAGGACTTGATTAAGAAAAATGCTTACTTTGATTGAATAGCAAAAAACTGAAGGTGCCGAGAGAAATGAAAATAAAACAAAATACATCTAGAATGAATCCAACAGCCGCGCTAGTCACGATATACGCATAAACGGTAGATGTATGTACATCCTGTAATTTGTCGAATTCCTGTTTGAGTACATCTTGAGTGCAGTACGCTCTGATAGTTGTCAAACCGTTCAATGTAGCATTTAGATGAGTAAATACTGGCGAGCGCGCTGAAACACACGAAAAGAATATCTTATAAGATCTCGAAAAATATCAAAAAATATTTCATAAAAGCATTGGAAAGTCAATTAAAAATGAATCTAAATACTTAACTAAAAAAGATTGATATTATAAAATTTAAATCAAGTGAATAAAGTATTATCAAAGCATTTTGTAAAATGAAACGAATTAAAAAGACTTTGATTTTTATATAAATTAAATAATAATAAGAGTTTATAAGTATTTAATAAGTAGATATAAAATAAACAATAAATAATAAAAATTTTATAATAAGTTTTTAAGAAAGAGAGGGAATAGATTAAGTGAAGAAAGATAAACATACACATTCCTTCTAGCCGCTTGATATTTTTACTAGTTTTAAGATAAACCTTGCGAATCCAGTAAAATATTATGCTGATGAACACAATAGGCACCAAAAAGATGGGATTAATTATACAGGTGACTATCAGCGAACCGAACATCAACATGATTATCTGTCCGGCATCTAGGCATGCCTTGGGTAATATTTCATCGATAGTGCCCATATCCTTCGAGAACCGGTTTAAGATCCTACCGCTAGGATTAGTATCAAAAAATCGCATTCCCGTATGAATTAATGCACTAAACATCATGTCGTGCAGACGCTGACTGCACATCATGCACGTCTTATAAAAGAACAGCGATCTGGAGATACCAATAACAAAAATACTCAGCACAATGCCTGTGTAGATGTAGACGTAAATCATTATTTTCGACATATCCGCGTCATTCGAGACAATATCTAAATGATTTCTCGTTATATTCTCGTAAGTATCATCTGTTTGATTCTGACTGTGTAGTTTGGTTAGATATTTTTGTGTTTCTATCTTACTGACACTGTGAAAAGAAATTAAAAAATTATTTAAGAAAAAAATTTAAAAATTACCTACTGATAGATAAAATAATATGTCTACTTAATGTTAATGAAAATTTATATTAAACGTACATTAAATTTATATTAAATGTGCGTAAGGAGTTAATATGCATTAAGTGATTTATATATTTGTAAGAAGGAGAAATAAAACGGATTTAAAATAAAAATGAAGTGAAGAGATTTAATATTAAAATAATTATTTTCTTTTAACTTTTTTAGAGACTTCTTTTTATAGATGCTTACAAGAAAGGCACAAAGTAGTCGCTGAGACTGACAATAAATTGCGTGACGATAAACAGGAACAGAACAATGGAGGCCATGTATAAATTGGCACCAGTTTGGAAGAACTTAATAAATATAGAACCTTTAACTAAACCACGTGACGTCCCTTCCATACCGTCGTTTAATTGTTCCTCATTTTCGTCCTCTTCTTCATCATCTGTACCGCCGCTGCTGGCTTCCGGAGTACGACTCTATCGAATAAATTTGTTCAGCAATATATATTCTTTTTTCATTTAGATGTTATTATAATGTTATCTGTATATCTGTATATTTTTACTTACTCTATTACTCGCAGAAGAGAATTTTCGTCTTATACTTATAGTTTTTTCAAAAGACGATTCGTCGGTCTCATTCTCCGCTGCCACGAGTACTCCGTACTCGGGTCGATATTCCAATAAATCTTGATAATTCGGAAAGTATTTTATTTTTCCTTGTTCAAGTAATATAATAGCGTCCACTCCCTTTATGTATTGCAACTGATGCGTCGCCAAGATCCTCGTCTTTCCGGCTAAATATCTCTGAATACATTCTTGAAATAGATGTTTGCTGACGTGCGCATCGACCTAGATTTTTACCAGGTAAAAAATTCCTTACATAAGTATTAAAATTAGTATTAAAGTTCAAAATTATTTAATTAATTTTATTCATGAAATTGTTATGTTTTTAATTTATTGATAAAGTTCACTTTCAAAAAGAAAAAATCGAAATAATACCAGAAATTAATCAGGACAATAATATATACATATTATTATTATTATTTTTATCGTTATGATTGTTATGTTTGATCATTACAATTTAATTTTTAAAATTTACAGAATTGAAAAGAGCCATAAAAAGCTCATTTTTAAAAATTATAAATTTTATATTATATATATAATCATTATACACACGAAAAGACGAAAATTACAGACTTTTTTAGAAGTTGCTTACCGCACTTAAAGGATCATCCAACAGGTAAATGTCCGATTGTCTGTACAAAGCCCTGGCCAAATTGATCCTGGCCTTTTGTCCACCAGACAATGAGCTACCACGTTCACCCACGATAGTCTGATCACCTTGCGGGAACTGCTTGAAGTCACGTTCCAAAGCGCAAGTTTTAATTACTTTCTGATATCGATAGCGCTCATAAACCTGACCAAAGAGTATGTTCTGTCGAACGGAGGCACTAAACACCCAGGCTTCCTGGCTGGCATAGCTGATTTTGCCATTGAGCTTAATCTGACCTTCAGTCAGAGTGATCTCACTCAAAATCGCAGACAAAAGGGAACTTTTGCCACTACCTACCATGCCAATTACAGCATACAACTTGCCTTTCTTTATCTCCAGATTCAAATTCTCCAAGGTATTTTGCGACTGTTTATCCTCCCACTTGGCAGTTACATTGATCATGTTGATGGCACAACTGTCATCGTTGCACGTGGATAATCGCTTTTCTTCTGCAAATAATAAAATTTTTTTCGCTAATTCGACAAATACATCAACAAAACGCTTTATTTCGCAAACTTACCTTGAATAAAATTAGTGGTATTCTTTAACAAGTCGGTAGCGACAGTCGTTAGTCCGTCCTGCTTTTTGTAATTATTATGTTCATTTAAACTTTGATAATCTTCCACATCATCATCGATAAAAGGCAAATCTTGTTTGCCTTCCTGTTTGTAGGTTTGCATGTTTGAAGAAAGATTAACATAGTTGGAGGATGTCTTCGAGATGCTGTTGTCCTGGAACTCGTCAAAGAGGAGGAAACTTTGGAGTCTGCGTATAGCCACCATACATTCGGCCAGCTCGGCAATGCCGCGCACAAACATACCAGACATAGTCTGTGCAAGAACGTTGAAGCAAGACGAAACGACAAAGACCTTGTCGACGGTGAGCTCGTTGCCGAACATGAGCATGGTTACGAGAGTGCAGTAAAGCGCCATCCGAGTCGTGAAGAGACTGAAGGTCATGTAGATACCGCGGATGTACGAGCTCTTGGTCACCACTCGTAGCTCGAGCTTGCGCGCCAACTCGATCATTGCGCAGAACGGCTTCTCCCAAGCATACATTTTGATCACCTGCACGCCGGAAATAATCTCGTCCATCAGCCGAACTCGTTCATCCGTTTTAATAGCTGTCTGGAGACGGAATTTGGACGATAGCTTGCCGGTGTAAGCTAAAATTATGAGAATAGGTGATGAAGGATTTATACAAATAGAAATTATTTTTTAATCAATCATGATGGACGAAAGACTCACATTGGATCGGCACAACCACAAAGATAGCGGCGATACCGATGAGACCAGCATAGCCGACATCCTGATACAAGATGTAAGCCACTATCAGGGCGGACAAAGGTGCCGACCACATGTGATGGATCAAAATGGAAACGAGATCGAACCTACTGACATCGTTGGCCACCAGATTGACCACTTTGCCTGGTGCTGTCTCGCCCAGAGCAGTCTTGCTCAGACGCAGAGCCTACGAAACAAATGTAAAATATTGTTACATGATTCAAATGTTAATTGATGGATTATGGGACGAAATAAAATGCGATTCAAAAACATTTGACGCTAATTTATGCATGACATAAGTGAATGCTAGAGTGTTAGTTTGTGATGTTATCAGCAAAAGAATTTGAAACTTTTTCTTCTTTCATATTCCGTTATATTTTTTCATTTTCAGACAGATATTTTACATAAATTGCTTCAAAACAAATAAGATTGCTTCATAACCGACCTTTCTGTATACCACGGAACAGACGGCCACGCGGACATTGGCGCCGACATGATAAGCACCGAAAATGGATTGATTAACGCTTATAACATTTACGCCGGACATCATGCATATTCCAGCCGCGTACCATAGAGCATTCTCGTATGTTTCACCCGAGTCCTTCCGGAAATAGCGTAAGAGACCACCCAGCAGCAACGGTGTGCCCAATCTACGAATTTCGCACATTAATCTTTTAGAATCTGAATGACTATCAGAGTAATACATATGTATAATATGTTTTATTATTATATAATATATTTAATATGATATAATATATTTTATTTTAATTTTATATATTATATATAATATCAGAGAGAGAGAGAGAGATTATAGTAATTATTAATGTTTGCAATTAGTTTTTATAACATTATATTTCAATATTATCATTTTATGGAAACACATGTGCATTTAAAATATCTTATATTTTAAATCTTTCAGTTATGTCTTAAATATTTTCCTAGGAATTGTTTCAAATATTTTATTATTCTATTTAAATCTCTCTCAAATCTTCCTAAGTTTTCTGCATATAAAGAAATAATTTTAAAGTCATTAAATTATCGTTAATTTTATCTATAAGCAAATCTCTCTAAAAAAAGCAACAAATTATTAACTATCAAATGCGTTATTTTTCACTAAAATAGATTATCTAATCATTAATACCTTATCACAAATTCGTTGAGTATCTGCATCATTCCGAGTAGGAAGTACTCCCACACGAATGTGTGGAAAATGGTTTTCAGCAAACTCGGACTGCGTTTCCATTTCTTCGATTTTTCTAACTCGATTTTCCATCGTCTGAAAACATATCAATATCCTACGCATTATTATTATTACTGTATCTTAATGAAGAAAGAAAAGAAGGATCAAAAAATCATCGAAATATCTTCTCCTATTTCCTGGCATATGACCCCAACACTTACTTTTCTAATCGATCTCCGAGTAGATTCGATCGGTCGACTTTCAAAGGATCAAACAAGTCTTCTAATTCTAAAATTTTTTTGTATCCTGTCTTGAATAAACTGATAGTCCACCTGATATGATTCGATAAAAGAAATGATTTAATTAAGTTATTTTATAGCAAAAATGGTATGTTAAATTAAAAATCGATATGTTGTATGTAATCATACAAATAAATGATAATAATGAAATGAAATTAAGAATCAAAATTGAAAGATTAGAAATTTATGTTAGGAAGGTCACATAATTTGAAAATGAACTAGCATAACAATCTAACTTAATCGTTTTTTCTCGACAAATGCAAAGTAATTTTCAAATAGAAAATAAATTTGCGTGAGAAGGTTTACTTTGACGTGATAGAAAGCAATTTTACATGCCACATAACTTTAATATAATTAATATTGAGATTCAATCATTTAGGATAAATATAATAATATATTAATGAATTTATCTTAATGAAAATATTTTGCTAACGAATATCTTAATATTGATGCATGATTATTATCAAATGTTAAATATGCAAATATACCGATATCCAAACGCATTAAATATTTTAATTTATAAATATTTTTTTAAATATTTAAACGAATGGAATAGCTTTAAACAAATTGAATAGCTTTAAATTATATGGAGTCTTATGAAAAGTCTGATAAATTTTAATTTATTCGAGAAGTTGCACAACTTACCACCATAGTAATATCGATACAATGCTCGCCTTTTCTCTTGGATTTGGTTTCGATTTGATTTTCGTTGAATCCATCAGTCCTTACACGCAGCATTAACTTGCCGCAAATTATCACTTGAAAAATCACAATCGATTAGCTTATCAAATTAATATACTCTCTTTAATTAGCATCAAATGCGATAATGAACTGAAAATTGACATGAAAATTAACATCTTTTGATATCAAGAGTATCAATCGCGATCTCTTCGCGTGATTTTAATCACATCGAAATTAACACTTCGCGTTTTATCACTTTCTTTTGCTGATATCAGTTTCTATGATCAATTGATGATATATCTATTTATTTTGCGAATCTTCAATGATTCTCTTGAAAAAGTAAGATATCAATCACTACTCGATATTTATCTTCGAATACCTTTTTACGATTTCTAGGGAAAGTGAGTCTCAGTGATTCTCTCTAATAATTGTTAAATAATAATTAAATAATAATAATTATATTTATTAGACGTATACAGATGTACAAATCATAATTATAATTGACATTACTATTACTCTTATGTGTAATAACTACGTAAAATGTACATAGATAATATTTAAATATTAATTCAGTTTTATTAATCATTTTCAGATGAAAAAATTTGTAAAAATATTTCAACTTACTAGTATTTTTATGTTATTTTTTTTTAATTCTGCTAATTGCCAGTCGTAGTAGAAAAAAATAGGCGAACCGAAACGATCCGTAACGTGTTCAATTCTAAGGAAAGAAGAATGATCGGTTTGTCAGTCCAGGATTTGAATGTGAACTTTTCGAGTATGTCTATCTGTTTAAAGAAGAAACTTGCATCATTCGCTTACACTCTCTCCATCTTATCTAACTACACGCGAATTGTGTTTGCCTGCTGTGTCATTTCTCAAATAGCATAGAAGGTCATGCAATAACTCGCATTTATCGTATAAATAATAAAATGCAATTAAAATGTACGCTCATCATAAATTTGCGATCGACGATTCAATAAAAAATCTTGTTTTTATGCTAGACACACACACACACACACACACACACACACACACACACACACACACACACACACACATAAGCATTTTAAGCACACATAACAATAACATATATAATTATATTATTAGTACTTATTTACAAATTCATAGATACTTTCCTTTCAAATAAAACAATATGTCAATCATTGTCATTTATATATAACTAATTATTAATAGATGCAATCATATTTTTATATTTTCTATTCAAAGTCAAAGTGATATGATCATCATTAAATAGGTTATTTTAAGACCTACAACTTTTGTATGAAACATTTTTCTTTAAAATGCTTCCTCAAAAAACTGCTGTTACAGTCACTCTGATACATCCTGTATATATATATATATATATATATATATATATATATATATATATGAAAAAATTAAAATTAAAATTAAACAACTTGTAAATTAAACTTAAAACTGAGAGAAAAAATTAAAGAATATTGTAAAATTATAAATTACAAAACATGAATTAAAAGATTATAGATTTAAATTTACTAATAATTATTTAATTATCATTTAGTTATCAATTATCAATGATTTTATTATTCAATCAAACATTTTGCGTTCGAAAATTAAAAACGTCACACATATATCATAAATTAAGTGTTAAAACTCTTTGAGACTTATATAGCTATAACTTTTCCTCATTCAAATGTAAAAATATGTTTTTAATTAATATTGTGTACTAAATATTAATATTTAATGAGGGAAAATCCGCTTAGACTTAACTAATGCGGAAAATACAAAGCTTATCTGTCATTGACTAGAAATAAACAATGTAAGAAGAAAAGTGGTAATCCTTAAAATCCTTATAATGGATAAACTATCGCATTTGCGTATATTTACGTTAATGCATTCTCAACTGCTTCCGGTAATTAAAATACTCTCTCAGAATTAACTTGTTTATTACCCATTATTTTAAGGATTTCGTTTTCTAAGTTTATACTTTAAGATCAAATAAAACTCCTCAAAATATTTTCTACATATAATATGGAAAAATGAAGAAAATAGTTAAAAATATTAATTGCAAAATTAAATTATATATCTAAAAATAATAGGAATTTTTATGATTTGTATTTATAAAACTTTCCGTTTCATTTCCTTTTGTCGCAAAATAGTTATATCTATAATGTAGAGAAACATTCAAAGTTCTATATGGAAGGAAATCAAGTTTGCAGCTAAAACCAATTCTGCTTTTAAAACTTATTAAATTTGCGGATCGAAGAAAGAAAAAAAAATAATTATTTCATCAAAAGAGAAATATTTGTGATAAGAAGAATCCGAAATATATATATATAGTGGGACGACTCTCGTCGCCGCGCGCTACGAATATTCACTGTAAGTCAGCCGCTCCTCGGGCGATCGGGATGAGATTTAAACGGTAGTGCCGCGAAATGGTGTAGAATTTTATGCAAAAAGAACGAAATCGCTATCGCGTCCGGAAGTCGAGATATAAATTGGCCGTTTTTCATCTGTGCGCGGACGGTCGAAATCGTGCACGACGTCGCGCATGTTGTCTGCCTCTCGCGCGATATTCACTGTAACGCGGCGAGTAAAATGGCAAGCCGAATGCAATCGTTCGATTAATTCGTTAAATATTTATATATATAAATATTTATATTTATTTATTTATATATATAAATATTTAACGAATTATACGCTGTTATCAGACTGCGTACGCCAGCAGCACGTAACTACAGCTGACAGCTGAGCGGACATGTGAGTGTAATCATAGTGCGCAGGCGTCGAACTCACACTACGCTTCCATTCACATATCCGCTCAGCTGTCAGCTGTAGTTGCGTGCTGCTAGCGTACGCAGTCTGGTAATAGCGTGCGAGAGCTAAGTATTTATATTTATTTATTTATATATATATAAATATTTAACGAATTAATCGAACGAATGCATTCCGATTCATCTTTTCGTTTGGTATATATAAATATTTAATTCACTATTCGACTGATTGCATTCCGACTCGCTTTTTTAGACATTAGAGAATCTCGCTACTCCATTGTTCAGCGACGCATGACACGTAATCTTTATTGAAACACAGCCTGATCATGACTCATATTTAGCGTAACTGAACAAGCGATTTTGTAAAGCAACTAAAATACATCGCGACTTTTTTAATCTTGAAAAAACAATTCTCAATTCATTGTCAGAAAAAAATTTTTCAGAAATTTATCTTTCCCGCCGAGATTCAACCATTTAATAAGAAAACGTTATTTATATAAGTGCAGATATTTGCTCTAAATTAAATAATTGTTCCATTAAAATTTTTTTAGGAAAATGTTGAAAATGTAACATGATAAGGAATAAAAGTATCATGAAGGATTTTTGTTAAGGGAAAAAAAGAACAAATATATATGCACATAAGTAGGAAATTTTTTAAATTCCAATATTTGTTATAAATTGAATTTTTTTTTGTAAAATCCGCAATTCGAAATATTTTCAAAATTCATTTGCAGATTCAAGAATGCCTTTTCTCGTTTAAAAATCTCAAGAAAATCCAAGTATCAAAAATTAGAGCACGGAAAACATTGAATAACAAACGAGAAGGAATACGTACAGTGATACATGTCGCACGTGATAAATAGATTTGTGTCTTATCAATAGTCAATATTTGAAAGTGACTAACAATAAGAACAAGAACTGAGAATCACGTATTAAACCTGTACAAGTTTTCTAAATTCAATTTTCAAAGACACATGTGGACTAGCTGGTGTGAAGCATATTATTTGTACATCTGAATAATTTTCTTTATATTCAAATATATAGAAATAAGAGACATAGAGAGATAAAGAAATAGAGAGAAGAAATTAAGATTCTGTTTAAATTTGTTTTAAATCTATCCTTTCACAGCAAAGCAAAAGAAGTTGCTCGTAAAAAAAAGAATGTCGTTACGTTTACGTTTTCATATCACACGTGGATTGATGGAAATTTACATGAAAATAAATTCTTATACATAAATCATATTTATATGCGTAGTAATCTATACAGCAAACACTTTTCGCATTGTTATAATAGTTTATTTACCTCGTATTGTTATCATAGTAAGTCTTATTCTTTTCAGATTCTCTTTGTCATTTTAACTTCTTCGGAAAAGAGGAGCATAATGTACAACGTGTACTTACAACAATTTTTATCTTAAATTATGAAACATATAATTTATTTTTCTTTTAAGATAATTTATATATTTAATTATTTTTGCAAACATATATATATACTTTGTCAATCAAACTTTTTTATTTTTAAACACTTTGATTATTGATTAACAAATCACAGATAAAAATTTTTGGCACAAATCAAAATCTGAGAATTAATAAATTAAATTATCAAGGATCTCTTTAAAGCAAATATAATATATTCAATAATATGCTCAAATAAATATTCAGCATAATGTATTTTTTATTTTAGCGATAAATTTGGTGTCGAATATTTTAAGACACTAAGTGGATGACATATCATAAATAATACATTTTTTGCAAAGTGACTTGAGTCATAATGTAACTCTTCCGTGACGTATAATATATGAGAACGAAATGCGTCCAGCAGAAAATTATGCTCAAACTGACTGCGAGCGCAATTAATACAATGGGTGTTTCAGACGCATGTAATAATAATTATATTCTAGTAATATTAATAATAGCAGTAATATAATAATAATAATAATGTGATAATTAATAATCTTATAATTATATTCTCTTTCTTGAACAAAGAAAATTTTTTAATTAAATTATTTTAAACGAATATATATATTATTTATAATTCTATAAACATATATAAATATATGTAAAATATATCAAAGATCACGCGTTTTCTCTCACATATAATTTTTAAAGAAGTCTGGAGTCGATTTTTCTCCAGATTAACGGAAAGTTGGAGAAGGTCCAAACGTTCTAGAGAATTGTTGATAACATTCTATACTTATCCTTCATATCTTTATTTTCGTAGCATGATTATAATCTCATCAAAAGTACTGAAATAAAATTCGAACAAAAGTAATTTATTTAAAGAAGAAATTAGTACATATATATATATATATATATATATATATATATATATCTCAATATGTAGCAAAATATCGACCTAGGAAACATGATGAATAAACGCATGTATATTTCTTATCAAAGAGACGGCTTTTAAAATACGATAGCAATATGTATATTATCCTTTTAGAGAAGTACATTTACGCGACTAAAAATATCATTAAAAAAATATCGTAATTTGGAACTGAAAATATCATAAAAGTTAATATTTTAACACAATGTGTTAGAATGCTCCAAACTGTATCATTGCTATCTTTGAATTAAATTATAACTAGATATATATTATCAAACCATGTTATAATCTACTACTAAAGTATTTCCTACTCTCTCTTTCTCATAGTTTACAACAAGAAATGACACAACTATTTTTGGCAAGCTTCGCGAGCATTAGGGACCGATAAAGAATGATTCGCGTCACTTTCAAGCATAACAACAGATGCTGTGCTAATTAAATATTCTTTCGATCGAGATTAAAGCTCGACCCTCATCTAATCGATGATTTTGTCCGTCCTTTTTTTCATCGTACTCTTATGGATGGTTCGTTGTACACGTGGCTTCTTCACACTGCTCTTGCTACACAGATTCGTCGCACTCATCAACTTACACACGTATTGTATACAAACGTACAACGAAGAAAAACAACTGGCCACGACGACGTCTGCGCGGACACTGAGTCTGCATCGAGCGTCACGCCACTTTCACATGCAATCGTCGACCGCTCAGCCAAGAACTAAGGGGATACCAGTTACAGGGGAACTTAAAGAGGGGAGAATCTCCAAGAGAAATTCCCGCTTTAGCTTCGTAGGCCTAGGTCGTAAGACCTCCATATTTTTCGGATATTTTTCGGAATGTAATCATAGTTTGGAGTAGAAAATTAAAGAGATTGCTCATTTTAATATTTTTATCAACATTTTGATAAATTGTGAAATTTATAAATGTAAATTTATGATGTTTTACATTGGTATTTTACCGATATTTTAATGATTTTAAAGGATCATGGCTTGTAAATGAATCACAATTAATGCTGGAATTATTATATTAAAAATAAGTGCGCGATAAAAGCGAATTTAAATTTATATTAGATGCAATTAATTATCTGTTCAAGCATGAATTTAAATCACATAGTTCAATTTTCGAGTAAGTACATTTCGTAGAGCTTTCGATCCTGCTCATTACGAAAATTTGGAATAAAATTGATTTCCACTATTTCCTTGAATCCTTCTTCCAAAGTTGGTGGCACATAATTTTTCCTACATATGAGACAGATACAATCTTGATATTATTAAATATTGAATGTTAAATACATTAACTGATAAAATAAATTTTTGTAAGCCTTTTCATTGAGATCAAATTAACTTATGTGTCTATGTTTATTCTTAATTTTTCTTTTAATTTTGACAGTCAAGTTATTAGAATAGAAATAAAGATTGAAAGAAATATAAATTAAAAAATATAATTTAATGAAAAAAAAACATACTAAAGCTCGATTGTAATTACTATATACTTTGTTTTTATACATGATTTTATGGAAGAATATGTGCGTACTAAGAAAAAGAAATATATAACAATAAAAAATATATATGCATAAAATCCACTTACATATAAGAATTTATAATGATCTCACTGACCGGAACATGGCTTGGATCAGTTAACTCGCGAAACTGTACAAAAGATATTTAGATCGTATACAATAATGAGAGATACAATAACACATAAAATATAATTTACAAAGGAATTTATAAAAAAAGAATCAATTTTATACACAATTACCTTATTATTATGCTTTGCATGCTCCATACTTGTCGTCATAATAAAACATCTAATCGGAATGTTTCGTTTCTTGGATATCTCTGTATATCTTTGTCTTGAGGTAGGATCAGGATTAGTATTGTCTATAACTACGCTTTTTCCTTGATTTAAATATTGTTCGACTGCAGCAATGCATTTTTGCCAGCTGCCTAAAGTATCTCTGTTGACATGTCCATATTCCTTCAAGTAATTCTTCGCAAAATGCGATTTTCCAGAGCCCGGACTACCGACCATAAGTATCATCTGTTATAAAAAAAAAATAATAATGATAATACATGTGGAAATATAATCAAAAATTTTATTTTTGATTAAAAATCAGATATCTTTAATAATACAATTTTTTTCAGTATTCACCTCTTGCTGTTGCAACATTAATTTCGCATTCGCAGGTTTGCACACATCGTCATTTTGCGAAAGATTTTTCGAGTTGAATTTGGGCAATTCGTAAGGAGGTGCTTTGTGTTTCAAAAAGTGTTCTTCTGGTGTCTCGAATTTAATACCCACATTCAATGCCATTAATCGATCCGCACTTGAATGATCTTTCTTCTTTCCCGGAGCCCAATTCTTTGGCCGACCAGCAGCATCGCCGACGTAGAATGAATTAGCTTTGTCGATTGTAATATTTTCATTCTGCAACTATAATAAATGTTATAAATGTAGCATATTAAAAAATGAAAGAATTAAAAAAATTTGATAAAATTATTTATAATATGATGAAAAATTAAAATTAATCTTATCTTTTAATAAAGTAAAAAAGATAAATTAATAATAGAAATGTACAGTATATATATATATAGAGAAATATCTCTAGAAGAAATAAATTCTTTTTTGTCTCCGTAGATATGACAAAAGAGGAAAACTTTTATAATTTCTAAACCTTTTAATTTATTATAATTTTTAATTCATTATAAACACTCTTCCAAAAGATGCCTTATATATATAATTACATACCTCTTTTTCCAATGATTCCCACATACCAATTGTTGGTTTTCTATAAATACTTTTTCCTACGGCAATAAAAACCTAGAAGGAATAAGTAATGGAGCAATATATTTATTGACCTAAAACTGAAATTATCTTAACTGATATTATAACTATGATATCATACCTGAATGGGGACACTGATTTTTCGCACGATATTTTCGATCTTAAGTTTAAAATCACTGATCTTAATTTTGCCAGTGCTAAGCCCAGCTTGATTTGTGAAAATTACTATTTTGTATCCATTTGTATGCAACTGCTTCAATTTACTAGGTACATCAGGATATAGCAGTTGCCAATCGTTACAATTCTTTGGAAATACCAAGCCAGATTTGGTTTTTATTAAAGTACCATCCATATCATATGCAGCTATCTAAAATTAAAATTTAATTTTACTATCACTGTTTGCATAAAATTCTTTTAAAATCTTAAATATATGTGCATATTATATTTATAATAACATATAATAACATATTAATACTTTATATTTGTAACAGAATAATCGTTATTAATTAAAAGTTATAAATATTATAATAATGAAAATTACTTTTGATCGATGTTGAACAAATGATGGTGTATAAATTAATAATTTTCCATGATCAATACTGTCCCATTTTGCTGATGCACTTGAATCATTATTGCTTCTTTCAGAGAATGTGCTACATTCAGCAGTGAGTGCTTTCTGGTTGAAACAAACATCATCCAAAGTTGATTTTTCTCCTTCTTCTCTGTCATTTTTTACTTCCTTATTGGAGTGATTATTTAGCTTTAACATTTTTGTTCTATGTTCAGTCTCATCTGCTTCCAGTTCGTAAGATCTTTTCCTCAATGCAAAATTCTTCACACTTTGTGGTGGATTGAATTCAACTTCATAGACATACTTGCCATACAACAGCTCTAAGCGATCGTTGTGTCTTGCTACAAACCTTACATTCTTCTGAGTTTTAAAACCGTTGAAACCACAAGCATGCTCGCCAACTTGTTGGACTGTGACAATGGCTTCTGCATAGTTTGCGCATAAACGAACTATTGAAAATACATTAGTGCACTTATTAACTTGCAAATTAAAGCATAAAGTACTTGACAGAAAAAAGATGAGAGACATGACGTTACAAATAGTTAGACTGTATTAAACAATTTTCTTGTATTCATTTTGTATTTCTTCTTATTCTTGAACTTTATTATTTATATTTTTTGTGCTTTCTCCTTATTAGGAGCAATTACTTAATCTTATAAAGAATTTAAAAAATTAAGTTTAATAAAATAAAGAATCTTTCAAATTATTTTAATTAATCATCAATTCAATAAAAATTCTATTATTCAGTTATTATATCATTATTTTTAATCGATACATATTTTATAATTAAAATTAAAATTATATGTACCGGATATATCAAATTAACAAGGCATAATCTCGATATAACAGTGAATCTATCACTCATGAATGATCCTTCAATCAAGGATCAAGGTACAAGCACATAAATCATTTAACATTATTATTTACGTTTTATCAACATGCTACTTTTTTTATAAACATAAAACACGCAGAGATAAGAACTCGTCACGTGTAGCGAACTCCTTTTTCCGGATTATGAGTAACGCAAAGAGAGGAAAGGTAGATTTTCGCAGATACGCAACCTTGTCGCCGAGAACATTTTGTGTCCGCGATACCGGTTTCCGGCGAGCGTCCTACAAAAATTGGCGTATTGTCCGGCAAATAAACATTCGATGAAGATTCTTCCAGTTTACGTATATAACAACTCTTGACAGTCGCGCTCATCGCGACAGCAATGCTGTTGACAAAGAGAAGCTCTTCAGAGTCCTCGGAACGAGCGTCTCTTGCATTAAAGCTGTTATTTCGATTGGTAAGTGAACTCTTATCGATCGTAATCTTTTATTTCAGTCATCGGTAAATTACCTACGGCATCGTAGATAACTATTTTATTCCGGGTTTGAGTCTCTGTTAATTTTTCGACCAAAATAAACAGCTGACAACAGCTGACAAGACAATCCGAACAGATCTTTATACATGTATTTATGACTACATTTCTTGCGAAAAAAATAGGAAATATAATTCAAAATTAAAAAAAAAAACATTCGAAGAAAGAACAGGAAAGATGAAAATAGAAAAGATACACCTGTAAGGAATAACATGTACATACTTTATATTTGAATAATTAAAGGTAGCAAAACAAAGCAGTTAAACAAGGAGTAAACAGGATTTACAGGATAAATAAAATACTTCGTAATGATATACTTTGAGATTCTTTGAGTAAGTTTTCGGCGTAAATAAATGATAGAAGAAAGTAATGCAATATAAATGTAATTTAATGTAAAATAATAGTACAGTTTAATAAGTCAAAATAGATGGTTTTTTGTTTTTATTTATTGTTGGTGTTGACTCATTATTTTATATCATATTATTGAAATTTTATATCATATTATATTATTGAAAATCCCCGATTTATTTATTGTTATACATTCTTCATTACTTTCTTCAATTACTGTAAAATCAATTATAAATTTCATATAAGAGATTTTGTATTCTGTATCCAGTGACAAGAGTTTATCTGCTTTAATTTTGATTTCTGTTTGTAGATAATATGTCGTATCACAAAAAGAAATGTGTAATATTAGGCTGTAAATCAGATATCCTAAGACTTCGCTTATTCCCAACTGCAAAAGATAAAGAGAGATTTCTGAAATGGTTGAAGGCTTGCGGGAATGTCCAGTTGCTGCAGCTATCTGAAACTCAATTGAGGCATAGAGTTGTTTGCGATAAGTATTTTGAGGAAAGAGTAAAACTGGCAACCACATTGTCCAGAGTAGCAATCCAGAGTTCCAATCTTACATCTACCTAGTATGTATACTTAAACTAATCTTTATACATTTTTCGCTCATCTGTTTATCTTATATAAATCATCAATTATTTATTTTGTCAAGATCCTATTGACTCATCAAACTACAAATTTAGTGATTCACAAACAATTGATGCACAAAAAATTAATGTGCAAATATAAGTATCAAACATATTTGAGATATTCTATCGTAAACTTGTATTATAATGAAAATATATAATTGCACATAATTGTTTTTGTTCTATATTTATAAAAATGATTTTAATCTAATTATAATCAATAATTATAATAAAAGTAATTATATTAAATATTCTGTTTAATATAGTCATTTTTTTATATACATATGTCTATTATTAGTAATGATTTAATTTTTTTTGTCTTATTCAATCTGAATCTACAGTTGGAGAAATATATACTTTCTAATCATTAAGAGATATGCAATTAACTTAAAAGAATAAATATTATATAAATATCTGAAGACTTAAAATTGTACTCCAGCAAATGATGATTTGATAATCACATATATTTTTATTTCTGATATATAAATAATGTTTCTATTTTTCGATCATAGACAGAGATGATTGTTTTAGCTTTGCGATATTTTTTATTTTAGCATTAAATATTATATTCCTTTAATTATCAATGATTTGCAAGGATTGCAATTTATTCTTATTAAAAATTTATTTGTATTAACCAGCTGAGATGCTGGCAGTGTAATCGGTCTATTATATCTTGCTGGTATGAAGAGAGCCACCCACGCGAGTCTGTTGGAGTTGTGGGCGGATGACGGTACCGGTCTGGAGATATGTCGTTCCACTATGAGCTACAGGTGAAAAATTACTTCTATTTATAAATCTTTCTATTAATAAATAATTAATTCATATTTAATTTATTGTATAAAAATCCTATTCTTTCTCTGTTTATATAGGAGATTTTTATTTCTCTTGAACTGTCTGCAACTTGATGATCGGAATACCAGAGCCATGCGATTAAAGGTGGACAAACTGGCACCTGTAAGAAATATCTGGAATAAGTTTGTGAAGAACTGTAAGAAATATCTGGAATAAGTTTGTGAAGAACTGTAAAGAATCTTATTTACCTAGCAAGTCCCTTAGCATCGGAGACAGACTGAAGCACTTTAGAGGCAAATGCAGTTTTATTCAACAAGCCACCAAAATATGGATTGAAGATTATCAGTTTAGTGGATGTCAAGACATCATTCACTTGCAACTTCAAGACATCATTTACATGGAACTTCATTGCGATCAGCAGCCAGAAGGACGTTACAAAGTCAGCAATGATTCCGCGGCGATTGTGCAACGACTGATCGAACATCTCAAAAACTCCAACAGCAATCTATTTTGCGATGAGCTTTATACTTCCTATCTGCTCGCTGTTTCGCTTCTGACCGACAAGATAACGTTCCTCGGTGCTATGGGAAGACATCACAGAGAAATTCTTTTATGTTTCTTACCAGGAAAGTCACGACCAGTTGACAGTACTCGTATGGGTTTCAGAAACGAGACTACCTTAGTATTCCATGTATCTCAGAAAGGCGAGGCTATTATCGTGCTCTCGACAGCACATCACGATGCGAAATTCAATCCATGGACCGAGAAACCGATACTCATAGAACATTATGCAGCAAAAGATGCAATAAATATCGTCGATCGAACATGCGCGATATATTCCGTTTCCAAAAAAACTAAGAGATGGCCATTAACAGTGTTTTTCGTATTATTGGATGTGGCTAGTGTGAACGCTCAAATTCTTTATAATTCTTCTCAAAATAATTTTCTGAAATACAGGAGAGGCTTCTTGAAGACTTTCGCATTAGCACTATTAAAACCACATTTGCAGGCAAGTATCACAAGAGTTAAAAATTTATGCTTATTTTACAATTTGAATTAATTTTAGTTATTTTACTTATTTTAGTTATTTTACTTAAAGAAATTAGACTTTTATTTGTCTAAAATAAATTTTACTTAATTCTTTAAAAAATTTAAATTAAATAATTAAAAATTTAATGTAAAAAAGTTAAAAATTAAATCATATTTACAGGAAAGGACAAAGATAAAAACTTTGCCAATTAATATTCAAACCAATATCTTTCCTCAAATAGTTTGTGAAGGAGATTGTCTGATAATTGACGAACAGGAATTCTCCAAAAAACGATTCTGCGAGAAAGATAAAAAGAAAAATTCGACCAGAAAAAAGGATCGATGTTTTATGTGCAGTCAAAGGTATAATTACAACACAAAAATGTGATATTTGCTCGAGATTTACATGTAAAATATATATAGCATATATAAAATTCATTTGCAAAAGATATGATTCCATCAGAGGAGACAAAGATAATCCATAATTCATGAATGTTTAATAGAATATTCATGTACACTAAGAATTTTGTTAACAATCAACAGTAATAAAATTTCATTTGAGACAAATGGACAAAAAGACAGGAAATAATATGATGCAAGCGATATTGATAATAAAAGATTCGCGAATTTGCTACAAGTTTGATTTTGGCAACAACATGAAAGCTACACGGGAAAAGTTTAACTTTTCAAAGTAGTATGTTGCAATTTTTAGTTGTTTACGTTCTTCTTTCTGTGAATTAAATATATAAGTTTAATAAAGAGAGAATAAATTGCAAAAAAGAGTTGTATACAATTTTTATCGCGCTCAAAAATTGAATCATTATTTCTTATGCTTCAATAATAAGCATAATTAATAATTAAAAAGATCTAAATCTCTGGAAATAAAGGGATTTCGTGTATTCGTTTCATAAGTAATAATAATATAATTCCCAGAAAGTGTTCTTTATTAATCGCTATACTGTAACAATCACATTTTAACATATATCATAATGTAATTTCATTTGAAATAATACGTATACAAAATGTAGAAGTAATGCGCTTTCATATATTTTAAAAATATTTTTGCTTAATTTGAAAACAGATCGATATTTTTCCAATTGAAGAAGTGAACATACTATTCGTATGTTTATACATTCAATTATATTTATTATATTTTGCAAAATTCGCGATTTAGAAGCGCGTTAGTTCTGACACTGTATAAAGTTTCAGTTTTCGATATTAATATTTTTTTTAACTTACCGTAATAACAGACACTTCATTTTTCAGCCCTCGAAATTGCGATGCCAATCATGTGGCAGTCATCGATGATCTCATGTAGGTGATAGTCTCACATTCGGCGATTAATATTAGTTGTGATCAACCTAAAGAAAACAATAACAGCAAATCAAGTTTCGAGTTGCAGGATTGATTGATAAAATTAATTTGCATTTATCTCATCGATTTACACTAATCCTTATCTATGAGCTTTACGAATGAAATGTCATTTGCAATATTACTTGCTTATTCAACTCGTGTCTGTTAGATATTATCGAGTGAATCAATTATTATACAGTATTCATTTTGTGTTTCGATTCCTGTCGTTTATTTAATTATTATGTATTCGAAAGTCATTGGACGATTTTATTCTTGGTTCTTTCTCTCAGATTAACGCCTATCGTGTAAGTTTCATTTACGAAAAACTTATTACAGTAATAATCTTGTTACTACAAATCTGCGTGAAAAATGTAAATCTACGAATCTTCTCCATTTTTATCCTATGCATTTTATATTCTATTGTTGTAAATATCTTATGCCATGTATAATATTTATATACAAGAGACATAAAGATAAAGAAACGCACAACTGTGTCTATTATAGTTGAATGGAGTCTATTTTGTGATTCGATCGCCTGTAAATAGCATTTTTTGGATATCTTTCAATAATTATTATATAATTTATATGCAACTTATATTTACTATTTATGCTAAATCCACTTTATACTCGATAAATGCAGTCGAAGTATTGTCTGTTAATCGAATCTATATATGAATTATAACTCTCAATAGATATATATATATAGACACATATGTTCTCTCTCTCTCTCTCTTTTTGGAAATTGATAATTTTTTCTCACAAAGAACGGATAGATATTTATTTGTATTTACTCACCTGAGTTTTTGGGTTGAGGTCTACTCAGCATTTGAGTTTCATTTAACATTTACAATGTTTTGCACTATTTATGTGGTATGATTCTTATTAAATTATTATTTTTCTTGCTTGTTCTATCTTTCCCATTTTGAATATATAGTACACTTTTTTTATTAATATTTATTATTGATCAAAAATCATTTCTGACTTATCTTTATTTGACTCAAAAGATACGCGATTAAAAAAAATTGTGTACATGCATAGAAAACTTTTATAATATAAACGAATATTTCAAGTAAATTCTTATACATTTTATACATATGTATAGATACAACAGGCTAAGCCTGTGAAGCCATTCATAAATTTAAAAATGCTTTTGCATTTCTTGTTTATATTTGTTGCTGCTAATATATTTGTACGATCAACGAAAATAGCTTTGCTGTCATTATTCATTGATTTGTTTGTTTTTTTTTAGCAGGGGACTTTAACGAATTTGACATGTTCTTCGCTGGAGAAACGATATTTTCCGTCTCTCGCCTTCTGTCTTTCATTCATTGTTTCCTAAGTATCTCAGCTTGTCGCTACGCCTGAAATAAACTTAATTTTCGTCAAATTTTATCATTGTTGGTACTTTAAGTATCCTTCGCTACTTAAACTCGATATTACGCTCTAGTTTTATATTTGTCTTGCATCTTTTAGCTGTTAATATTTGAATAATATTGTACTAAATCATAAACGATTTTTTAAAATGTTAGGAAAAATATTATCTGGATATTAGTTCTTAGATATTTCTATCAAATTGCAATACTCTTTATGTTTAATGACTTAAAAATATAACTTTCCTGGAATACTAACATTATTGTGTGAAATTAATATGTGGAACTTTTCAATATTCTATAGAAAACTAAATCTCGAGATTTAATCTTACATTTTTTAGAGATATATTTGTTTATAATTCTTTTTACTATTCTTTACAATTATTTATTTTTATGCCTCTATTTCTCTATAATTAAATAATGGATTAAATTATAATCCTGATCTTCACCTGTCGTCTGTGTATTTTTTGATCAATTTGAAGTCGAATTTTGGTTTTCTTATCGCAAACGACAAAAAGAAAAAAAGTCCATTATATAATTTTTAATATCAAGTATCTTGAATTAATTAATTTCTCATATTGCATCAAAATTTTACTTATATTTCCGGAACTTGTTTTTAAATAAAAAAATGTTTCGCTTTCCATCACTTCTCACTTAACTTTGGAATCTTTATTTAAATAAATTGACTGCAAATGATCGAAGAATCCGAAGACGGATGGTGGCTTGATGAATTAGAGATTGTGCATCTAATCTACTAGGATTTCATAAAAGGGCTCATACCTACTTTCTTTATCGCTATACTATCGAGGTGAATATTTGCCTCATTTATCGCTTATTCGCCCATTCATTTTTCTGATTAGCCTGTCTTCCTAGGGCAGTTGCTGGTTTTCATGTTTCGTCCATTTTTTCTGTTTCTCGTTGTCGGAGGTAAGGTGACAATAATAACAAATTTTCGATATATATATCGATGTCTACGATTCTTTTTTTCAATGTTTCTTTCATTCCAAAATCGAGCGATCGCTTACAATAGACAGGACATGTGACAACATGATACGCCGTATATAGAGAGTAGTTATTTTTGTAAAAGATTTATCGTATACAATAAACGCTACAAATTATTCACAAACAAGTGTCATTAATTAATATAAAATAATGCACGATAGAGAAAATTGGAAAGTATTGAACTGAGTTATTAAATTATTCTATTCGTTTCCCTTTTCGGCTGACACGATTTTCTACCATGAAAAAATCTATCTAATTGCATTTTCATGCAATTTCTGTCAATCTTAAAAAAAGAAACATCATAATGTTTCCTTCGTTTAACATCATGATAATTTTTTAATTGACGATTGTCTCAGCTAATGCGACATGGTTGATTATTAATCGTTATCGACGCTCGTAATAAACAATCAAATTAAATTGCAAAATTATACAATAAATTATAAAATTATTTAATTTTAATAAACGAAAATTACAATAAATAATAAAACAGAATATTTAATTTAAGCAAACACTAGAGAATTACAATATAAATTATAAAATAAAGTATAAAATTTTTGCAACTTTTCGAAATTTATATTTTCAGTTGATTTGAATTAAAGTAAACAAATTTTGTATAGTCTAAGTATCAAATATATATATTATAAAGAAATATTTTTATATCAGTGTTTTTCTAACATTTAACTAACATTTTGTTCTTTTTTAAGATCTTCGAGGATAAATTATGCAATTCTACATCGCATCTGTCGCGATTTTATCTTTCAAAGGATTTATCTACGGTTTCTATTTACAAAAGAGAACGTCGGTCTTACATTCACATTATCGCTTTCATCATTGCTGTATGTTTAATTAATTATTGTTATATTAAATTATATTATAAATCGCGGAGAAAACAGTTAAGAAGCGCTAGACCGGGGGTAAACTTAATCTTAGATCATACAAATGATGTGGAGTGAAATAATGCAATGTATATCACTAATTGTCAAGTATAAAATGTGTGTACTTTTTATATCGTCAAGTGATATCGATCAAATTCGTTTCATACGCGCGAGACAGACAGTGAATGGGAATGAAAAATCTTAATCGTAAAATAATGTGCAATGATATCTTGGAAAAGTTACAAATTGAAAACACGCAAGACTCCTAGAAAGATATCTGACAAAATATTTCTTATGCAAACGCAACGACCATCCAATGAAAATCTCACAAGAGGAAAAAAATACTTTTGCATAAAAAATAATATATTCATTTTCTTACTTTTCCAAGATATTATATTATATATATATATATATATATATATATATATATATATATATATATAATCAGCTTTTCTTAAAAGCCATTGTAAAGAGTTGTTGACTGTGCAACAATGATTTTACAATGTCATTTTCATTTTAGGGAGCCTTAATTTAAAAAAACGCCATTATTTCCAGATTATTTGATATCTCAAAAAAAGGGGGAAGAAATAAGACTCTCACTTTTTCGTGCGCCGGGAAACAATTCGATCTTTTATATTCTTTCTTTCCTTTTTTGTCTGTGTAGAAAAAATGTTACCTACTTAGATATAGAATTAATGAACGCGATTTGAATAATTAGTGTCGGATAACTTTAATAACGTCGCTGAGACTGGGTGTTTTGGTAACCAGCACTGCCACCTGCAAACAACCATAGCTCCTCCGTTCCATTACTTGAGAAATAGAATTTGTGCTTCTGCACTTTTTATATAAAATTGAACGCCCTATATATATGCATATACACAAGTCCTTCTACGTTATATACTATTATCTTTTATCTTTACCTGCCTATTACGTTTATTTCGACCTTCTTTTATATTATTTTTGCACATGTATATTTACGATAATGTACGCCATAATTAATTTATATGATAATTTGTTTGATTAAATATCAAGAAAAATGGATATTTTGTAAATTATAGATATATTCTTATAATATGCAAAAATCTCTTTTCTTTGTGAATAGTTTTGTAATTTTGTTAATACATGCGCATTAATTATAAATATTGCAAAAATATTATATCAAATATCTTGTAACATTGGAGATACATATAGATTTGTAATGTCGTGTAAAAATTTTTTTGATATTGCATTCTTGTAATATTGTACAAATGTTCTTGTATTGTACAAATGTTATTGCAAACACATCTATAAGATTGTAAATACTTTTTTAGTATTGCAAGTATTCTCTGATATATCGGAAATGTTTCGGCCCATTACGACTACTTAACATAATGCCATAAATATTTGCAATATTGCATTTATATGTAATGCGGCATTATATCGTTAAATTATATTATCATATTTCCTATGCTTATGTGTACTTTTCTTATGTCGCAAATTTTATTATACTGCATATAGAATTAACTATAATTCTTATTTGATAACTTGACAAAATGATTTAACGGAATTTTTCTAATCTTAAAGTCTGGGATTGCAATATTTGAATCTATAAATTTCTTAGAATTATCCTGACAAATCTTTTTAAGTATTATATGTGTCTTCAAGTTCATTCTTAACATTTCATAAATAATTATTTTAATAATTTTTTAAATATTACATAAAAGGTACTTTTATTCCGTTCTTGTCAAAATATATGAAAATATAAATTGTACAAATTAAAATTGGATACAGAACATTGCTGATATTTTCTTGTACTTTCTTAACATTTCTTTTGTATTTTATTTCATATTATATTATTATATCACTTATTTGATAATGTCTCTCTGTCTACAAATCTCTTTCTCCATATTCCAATCGACACTTAGCTAACTCCTTTTCACTTGCTCAATGAAATTTTCTGTACTGCGAGTTGTACTTACCATAATCCTGTTTTCCATAAACACCATCTTGATTTGGATAATCTGCAATCAAAAAAAAGGCAATCTTAGACAGTAAAGAATGTTGGAAACACTAAGGCAAGTGACTCAGACGAGAAATATCTGAAAGAATTTAAAAGAGTTGCACGGAAATACGAAAAAAGTTTGTGCTTGAACAATCAATTGATTGGATGAGATAGTTATGGCAAAATACAAAGTTTTGATGGATAAATAACAATTAATTAATTAATTAAAATTATGCTTAAGTTGTTTGATAAGTTAATAAATTAAAAAAGTATTTTCGAGAATGTGTGACAAATTAAATAAATTTATCCATTAAAAATATAACAAAGTAATACTAAAATATAGAATAAAAAACATAAAATAAAATACGTCCTAAACATAACAAATAAAGAACATACTATATTAATAATAGCGATAATTTTATACATATATATTTTATTTTATATATATTTTATATTCTTTATATGGAAAAAAAAGAAAAGAAGTTTCGTATTTCACGGACACCTTTTAATATTCTGCAGTGAGAGACGGCAGGAGGCAGTGCTGCAGTGCTGGTGTCCCGATGAAAGGATCCGATTTATCTTGCCACATTTGGAAGTTTATAAATCCTACGCAACTCTTTTATCGATCGCGTGTGAAGCGCAGTGCGTCCGAAAATATTCGACAAGAGATTCAGAAAGTTCTAAAGATCCAAGAATCCAAAAAAAATGTAAAAATTCTAAGAGTCAAAAATCCAAAAATAAAATCTGACAAGATTTTAATTTGAAAAATCTGGAAATTCTAGATATTTAAATTTTTTGAATATAGATCTACAATCGAAGAAATTCGCGAATGTTCGCAAGTGTGCTCTCCTCTTATTGTCGCAATCCTCTGAATCAGATTTTTCTCGTCTGAATTATGTTTAACACTTTTATTATAGAAACGTGTCAATTTGAATATCCGGAAAATAAGAGCACAAGAAAAGCGATCTTGAAGAATTTTTCTATCACTGAAGCAAGACATTAAATTGTCTATTGTAAAAAAATATCAATATAACAATAGCAAAAATTATTTATTTTATTAATTTAATAAATATTTAATTAATAACACTATTAATCATGTATGTTGTTAAGAATGGAATTTCTGATATAGTTTACGACGGAAAATATACGGATAAATCTGCAATATTTCTTTGCTTCAACCAGACAATTTGATGTTCTATTTCGATGATAAACGAGTTCTTAAAGATCGCTTTAAATGCCGTAGCGAAAGAATTAATGAACTATACAATGTGAACGATATGATGGCAGCGGACGAAATAACTAACCGTAAGGTTGCGTCGAATAACCACCCCGGTTGATTATGTTGGCATTAGACCGGTCGTCATATGGGTTAGCAGGGGCATAACCACCCCCCGGCCCCGCTGCTGGCACTGCCTCCTGCTGGTAATTGGCTGGACATGCATCACGTAATATTAATAAGCTAATTATATATACATAGAGGATGGCTCATTATAGCCAATCTACTTCAAATTCACTAAATTTTACATATTTATAATACAGTTAATATAATATTTTTGTTGATAATATTTTTTAATGTTGATAACATTTTCTATGACAATCTCATATATATTTAATTGCTACATTTAGATATATTCGATTATACTTTAATATTGCATATTTTGAATATTCATATAAGATTATCTATATAGGAGAAGTATTGTCAAAAAAGTACTATCAATATCAGAGAAATACTATCAATATCTGAGAAAATCTATCAATATTGTCAAAATTGCGCAAATCTGTCAAAATTAATCGATTTAAAACTCTTTCACAACCCGAATTAGCAACAAACCCGAATTAATAACAAACAAATATACAAGAATTGTAAAAAATAATGACATGTCACGTGCACACAAATGTTTTTCTTGTAATTTTTGTAACCTTACCTGAACTAGGCGGAGCTTTGCCATAATAGGGATCGTTAGTGCTGAATCCTCCTGCAACAGGAACCGAGGACGATCCGCCGTATCTACTATCCGGTGGTGCAGACGGTGGATAGCCCTGAAATCAGAAGAAAAAAATAATTGCAAATCGTTTTGAATACATGGTTAATGATTTTAAAAATTAATAATAAAAAATTTCATTAATTTTGATAAAATAAGAAATTTTTAATTTAAGGGCTAAGCCTAAAAATAGATACTTAATTTTAATAAGAAAATATAACGATTGAGATTTAAATAATTAAAGCTTTTACAAAATATCACTAATACATAGTATTTTAAATTTATTTACACTTGTTTGAGCGTAATCTGATTGCTGATAACTCTCGTAACCCTGATAGGATTGTGTATATCCTTGTGATCCGTAACCGCCACCGCCGCCGCCATATCCTACCGATTGCTGCTGCTGTGGTTGTTGACCACCATAAGCATTATTTGAGCCTCCATAACCTTGGCTGATTTTAAGAAAAAAAATTATTGTTAATATTTTTTTAGGATTTTTCACATGTATAAAGAACAAATGTATGTTGAACAAGTTACTATATAAGAAAAATTCTTTGCTTTTTATTTTTTTATATATAACAATTTTTTTATTCTCTTACCTAGATGATTGAGTAGCATAACCATTGGAAGACTGTGAAGAGGGTTGATCAAAACGTGGCCTTTTAGAGGGACCACTAGAACTAGGTGGACCTCCTCCTCGTTTTGTTGGACCACCTCGTCCACCACCTATTCCTCGTCCACCACGATCAGAAAAACCGCCTCCACGGCTTGGCCCACCTCTACCTGATCCTCTGAAATAACATTTACGTGAAACTCTGAAATAACATTTGTAGTAAAATAATGCAAATTTCAATATACATAAAATTTTATTCGCGTGCGCACATCATATCTTAACAAAACTTTAATTTCAAATTAAACTCAATTTGAATGACTTGAACTCATTTAATAAAACTGAATGTCTACAATTATGATCCAAAAATAATATTCCATGTAAGATTGAAATGTGTAATTAAATATCTCTATAAATTATAATTTAGTTATCGGAATTTTAATGAAAAATATATTTAATCAAAATTTAAATTAATTTCAAGCCTCAATACCGAGATCCTCCTCTTCCTCTATCTATGCCACCGCGTCCACGGAAATTATTACTGGCACGATTATCTCCTCTACCAAAATCTCCCCTGCCTCTGCTGCGAAAACTGTTATTTCCACCACCTCTTCCGCCGCCACCTCGCGGAGGACCACCCATTCCTAAGGGTAGTGGCCCACCTCCACTGGACATTCCTGGTTCAGGTGGCCTATAAATGATAATAAGATTTATTTTAGCTAGTAACAGCCATTATTGGAGAAATGATTTGTGAACACTTCCAAAATATTTGTTTTAATTAGTCAATTCTTAATTCGCTTAATTTTGTGATTTTTAAGATAAAATATTAACCAAACACACAGTACATAATATACTAGTATAATATGACAAAATTTATTAATTAATTAAAATAAAATTTGTTAATTTTTCTTATCAATGGAATATTTTTTCTACACCTAAATTAAAAGATTTTACAAATTAATAAAATTGAGGGTATCTTAATGAATTAAAGTTATCAAAATAATAAAAAATAATATAATGAACTAAGAAAATAAAGAATAAGAAAGAAAAGAAGAATAAGAAAGAAAAGAATTAAAGAAAAATAATATAACGTTCATGCTGGATTTCAATGTTAATATTTTTAATGCAAATACATAAACAAATTTAATGCAAATGTTCTGTAATATTTAATGATAACAATTAAATAGTATGCAATCTCTATATTATAATACATTATAATATTTAAAATGTATGATTCACAATGAATATAATCTCAGGTTTAAAATATTTATATAACATTGTAGATTTTGCATGCATTATAATCCATAATATAGAGATTACATATATGATTTAATTATCATTAATTATTAAGTTTCTTAGTATATATAAAAAGTAAATATACTAATAAAATTAAAATATTTACCCTGGAGGAAAATGTCCACCACGCCCTCCTCTAGGAGGACCACCCCTACTTCTCATAGGTGGACCTCCTCTCATGCTTCCACCAGGTCCACTGCCTCTACCTCCACGTATCATATTACCTCCTCGTGGAGGACCACCTCTATTAAAAAAAATATGAAAAATTTTATTTTCTATCGTAATAATTAACTATGAACATTTGTATACACATATGTATAAATCTATTAAATATATTTCTTATGCATTATAATAATTATTCTTTTTCTTCTAATTTGAAAAAAATAAGATGTAATTTTAAAGTATTTTTTCTGGTCCTAAATATTTTTGTACAAATATTAATTCAAATTTTCTTTTTCTTAAAAGCATAATCGTTCAACTATATTTCTTACCGTCCTCTGTCTCCAAAGCCACCACGTCCTCTCATTAGTCCTCCAGGACCACGTCCTCGGAATCCACCTCTACCGCCTGGTGCTCCGTCCATTGTTCAAACCTGCAACATTTTTCATACAAACTGCATAACAATAAATCCAAAAATTTCAAAGTCTAATAATATAATCTCTAAAACTCAGATTTGATAGTTCAAAAAAGGAAATTTCAGAATTTATAAACCTAAAAATTAAAAAATCTAAAATTTTTTGTTTTTATAATCTTAAGTTCATAAACCATTGTGTTTTTATTCAATTGACAAAGATCAATAAAATGTTTCTCTGTATTTTCTTGTACGTACAGCAAAAATACTTTATGCAATATTAGTTCTCCACTCTTTTTCCAGAGGATATATTTATGCGGTTAAAGCAGATATTGATTAAATCACGATGTGGATCTAAATTTATATTTAGACACAACAAAATTTTGGGAATAGCGGCAATCCACAATCACCGCACTGACGCTGTTCTCGGAATTTTGTGGAAAATGTCCTTTCAATCATATATCTTCGAAATATTTCAAAGAATCAAGCGAGATAAATTGACGTACAAGCTCGAGACACAGATAATTTCTTCAGACTGACACTACTCACGTTGATTGATTGGGTAAACAAGCAGTTCATCGATGAAAAAACGCTCGAATGAACGAACAAGTAAAATGGACGACTACCGCGGCGGAAAGAGCAGGAAGGAGAAACATCGACCACGACTACTCGAGTCAAGTTCGCGTCGATCGTCCACCGATCCAGTAAAGTCACTAGATTAACAAAGGCCGGTATTCATAGTCCGATCTTATATTTGACATCGTCTTAAGTTCGAGCTTGAAATGCTACGCAGCTATTTGATTGGTTGAATGAGGTCTTAAGTCAACCTCGAAGCAGACTTAAGACAATCTTAAATATAAGATCGGACTATGAATACCGGCCAAAGTACCGCAATTTTGATCTCAATAAGATAAGCTGGAGCAAAAATGGCAATACTTTGTTAATCTAGTGACTTTACCCGCGAGAATGTCAAGGTTCGTTCGAACGTGTGATGCGAGTAAACATAATACACGCATGTATGTGCGCTAACAGCTCTTTTAAGAAAATACTCAGGACTGAAACAGTTTCACCAACTGGTCAATTGACGAGTTTTTTGTATCAGTGATTGGTAGAACTGTCTCATATATGAAATAGTTGAATTGAACTTTTTTGAAAAGTTTATTCGTCGTTGTCGCGATATTAACGTCCGGAATAAGTGGAATATATTCGTAAGTTATATACAATTTTATTATTAATAAATAGTTGATTGCTCTCGAAATACGATACTCGATTATACGATAGGAATCAAAATTATAAATTATTACTTTGTTGCAATCTTTACGAGCAATGATTATTCTTCTATTTCTATTTCGTTTCTATCCTAATATATATGTGTACACACACACACACACACACACACACATTTAGAATTCTAATATAATAAATAAATATTCTCTCTGATATCATTTGATCTAAATATAATTTGATTCAGAACGCGCAATAAAACGATCGAATAAAAATTGGATAATTAACATAACGGAAATATATATTTTTAAAGTTATATACAAGTGTATTTATATACAAGTATATCTTTAAAGTCACACACACACACACACACACACACACACACACACACACAAAAGTACACGTACACACGGATTAATTATTTATTAAGCACACATCTTTAAAGTCACACACACACGTACACGTACACACGGATTAATAATTTATTAAACACACATCTTTAAAGTCACACACACACTCACACACACACACACACACACACACGTACACGTACACACGGATTAATTATTTATTAAACAATTAATATACTTCGTGAAATTATTTCCATTTTTATTTGCAATTATGATCTTTAATAAAGATTTCTCATCATAATAAAAAAATTTTATATCGTTTATCAAAAGTTTAAATTAGATTTAAAAGTATATTATTTTCGATAATAATTGATTATTTCACTGTATCTATTTCGTGAATAGCTATCATTACAGAGATCGCGTAGAGTTTGACAATGCAATAAAATTAATAATAACATTCCAATAAAATTAAATACAAATTAATTATAATAATTAAATATAAATTTGTTTATAATTAATTTTTTCTACGTTGAGAAAAGTTCTTCGTTTCTTTTGGAATATCTTAAAGATTCTTTTAATTAAATTTTACAAAATATATAACTATTAAATTTGTAGTATTTAATATTTAGAAATAAATAGATAATATTTCATTTTTATATAGATTAAGTATACGATATTATTTATTAAAAGAGCTAATATATCTTTTATGGATCTTTTTGTTAAGTTAATTATTTAGATCTACGATTCGATTGTTTTACTGCATTTCAATCCGAATTATATATTTAAATGATCGAAAAATAAAACGATAATAAAATAATAAGCAATATATCTATTTTAAAAATAGTGTATATAAATAATAAATAATAAATAATTTTTATAAATTACTCACCGCATGTCTCTGGCTGCTTCAGGCTCTCTCCCTGCTTTCTGACTGTCCGATACTTTTCCAGATGTCCTTCTCTTTTGTTGTTTCATCCTTTGTTGTTTCCTCGTAGCAGTCACGTATTCACTCGCGAACAAACAATTATATTTCAGTTAATTATATTTCAGTCATATACAGAAACGATCGCGAGACACTTTGCACGGCACTCCCGATCGCAAAGTAATCATACGAGATACGTATTTTTAAAATATTATTATTATTTTATTATTATTGCAAGAGAGGAACACAAAAATTACAATAATTCGCTCGATTTTTAAACGAAGCCAAAATCATGCACCATTCGATTCTTATACTAATTAACTATTTCTATTTGTTGATGTATAATATATGCATAATAACGCGAATCATAAGATTAAAATATTAAAGTAATGTAAATTGATGATACAGCAATCGTTTAATTAATATGATATATATGCATGCAGTTTAGGAAAGTTTAAAACATCGGGCGAAATCGAATTTCATTCTATGCAATGTTAAAGAAATAATTATTATTCGTAAAGTTCGATAATCGGAGAATATTGCGAGAAAATTTGTAATTTTTGCCCCTTTCGCTTCAATTTTTACTTGCAATAATGAAAGATCGCGTTTCGATGAATTTATCGTCGCCACAATTGCATTTATTATAAGAGTTAATTATTTGTCATTTGTAATAGTCGAATTATTATATTTCGATTTAATCGCGATCGTACCTTTAGGAAAAGAATTCGATAATACGGAGCGGTCTGTATCGCTACTTTCTCCGTTGGAATGTCGCCGTGCGAATGAGGGGAGGTCGTCGCGTATGTAAACAATAGCGCGCTACGTCACAAGGCCAAATGACGTCACAAGGTCGAATGACGTGTTAGCTCGCTGCCGAAATATTTAACGCGTATTGTGACGTATGTGAGAATTGTATTTATATACAAGTATATTTTTAAAGTCATACACACACGCGCACACACACACACACTCACGTACACTGAGAAAAAAAAGTTGTTAACTCGACTAAACCGTTTAACTAAATTATTATTTTTTTAATTGAAATTTCGAAATATTTAAGTTAAATAAATGTCATGTTAGATTTATAATAGTTAAATATTTCAATTAAAAAGATAATAATTTAGTTAAATGGTTTAGTTAAGTTAACAACTTATTTTCTTTTACAATTAGTCTTTTCACTGTCTACTATTTGATTGTTTTATTACGCTTTTACAAGATCAGGTTCTATAATGTAACTTTTAATTTTGTATTTCATGAAATATGAAATTATTATTTTAAATATAATAATTTTCTTTCTTTGCATTTCTATCATGAATAGACATTTCCAACCTTTACTAAAAAAACTAAAAATATCCCTCAATTCTTTCTCTCTTCGGACAATTTATTTACATTTATATATAATTCTCTTTATTCTTTTAAAAGTGAACATCGAGAACAAGGTACACGAGTATTGTAAATGTCAAAAAATGATCGCGCGAATACCATAGTTGTGAATATATAAAAATAAATGCAATATACTATGAATTTTCTACGTTATATATTGAATCGAAATTGCGCGAAAGAGGAAAAGAAGAACAAGCCTATGAATAGACATTTCCATCCTTTACTAAAAGAAAAAGAAATTAAAAATATCTCACTTTTTCTATCTTCAATTTTTTCTCTATTTCTTCGGGCAAGTCTACATATATGACCAATATGATTAATTGATTCCATCTTTATATATTTATCATTATGTGCTATTAATTAAAGCCGTAGACAATATTTAGAAATCAAAGTTGTGCGAACGTTGCAGGAATGGCCATGCGTAGAAACGAATGCGCACTGGTTCGGCCGCCATGTTGGCGCGTGACTGCTACGTCATACGCGTCATAGCTACGTCATACGCGTCATACGTGACTCGGAGTCATACGCAGTTACACGGATCGTCGTACGTCCGCATTTTTCGCGTCTTTTAACCGTTTTTAAACGAATATCGCGAGTGAAAGAGCGTCGAAAGTGTCCAAGGATGATCGCGCGACTTTCATAATATGTCAGTGAAAGTGCGCGACAGCCGTTTTCGACAATTCAGTGATAGCGCGATCGCGAAGATGGAGCGAAGTCGCATCGCGTTATTTGCGCCCTTGATGATGATTATCGGATGCAAGCGAATATCGGGAGTGCCGAATAAAGTGTCGCGCGTTCGCGTTGATGATTTCGTGTGAGTTTGTGTGCATCAAGATCGGAATGGGACGTCCCGAGACGAGCGAGTGGAGCGGCCTGTGGAACAGCCGGTGAACGAGTGAGTAGATTTGATTTATCATATTTGCGTGACAATTCGTGCTCAGTCGACGCTTATACAGCATCGCGATGTCTCGAATTACATTCGAACAAATCGGCGCCGCATCATAATTCGATGCGATGCCGTGCAATTCAAATAAAGTCGATCGCGTGAAGATGATTAGGCTAGAAGCGATTTCAAATTTATTTTGTATACGCGCAGTGCTGCACAGCCTATCTCGTAGGGCTGCCAATTATCAAACGATAAATTTTTTCGATCTAACCTAACCTCTCAGTTCTTTGGATGTCGAATGTAAACATAAGCGTATGCTGCCTGGATTTTATCATGCTTTCAAAAATAATATTTAATTATTTCATTAGTATATTACATTTTATTACGTAGTATATTAATCGTATTAAATGTGCGACGTACAGTTTTACACATTTTAATGAGAAACATATAATATAATTGGTTAGGTTAGATTAAATTAAAACAAGCTGCTGTGATTCATTTAACGTAATAGGATTAATTTGACGAATGTGCAGCTATTGAAGTTACATGATATTTGTGGACACATTTTTAAAGTAATCATGAGTGTCTTATCTCATCTTGATTATATGAAATTAAAATATAAAATATTTATGTATTCCACATTAACGTTATTCATTACAAGTACTATATTACTTTTCTTATATCTCAATCATATTTCATCGATGAAGCTTTTCATATATCGCAGACAATATGATACTGTGTGTGGAATTTTACACAGGTAATACATGGCACAAAAATAATTTGTTCTCAAGTATTGTGCGTATTTCTCAAAAATAAATCAAATTAAATTATTTTAAGTAGGATCCAAAAATCACTACATTGCCAGGATTGTATCCTATTATAACTGTGATATTATCACATTTTAATATGTGTGCACAGTATTACATACATAAAATATATAAATTTATTTGAAACGTACAGAAATCTTTATCTTATTTATAATATTTATGATATAAAAGAAAATTGCAACTCTAATGAAGCGGTGGAATAATTGGTTGATACTTATGCTGGTCTACAATATTTATCCTTTTTTCATCGTTAGATTTTTGGTGCTTTTTTTATTATACAGATGTTATCTGTAAATATAGTACTTGTAATGTTGCTTCTGTATCACTGTAAGCACACAAAAATGATAGCATTTGCAGGTAATTATGTTATACTTATATATCATAAGAAAGAGAAAATAAAATTAAAGTTGAATACTGAATGTGCTCTAAAGTAAATCTCATCTAAATAAATAAATGCATAAATGTGCGCCCCACATTCCTCATGAAAAAAATACATAATATTAATTTTTATGTATTATTATTTTTAGATTTTTATTCTTTTAAATTCTCTAGATGCACTTTTCATTTCTCCTCTCTTTCTTTCCAACTACTAAATATAGATCTATCATTTTTAATATAGATCTGTCATTTTTAGTGTACATTATTGCAGTAAGTGGAATAAAGAGCAAATCTTTTGGCACATTTCAAATGTACAGGAAAGTTTTATCTGATGCGTTTTTTTCAATAGAAATATCTGAAAAAAATACATACGTCTTTTTTAATCTTAGTCTTTCTAAATAAAAATTAGAATAATAAATTTGCAAAATAATTTGCTTTAATATATTTTTATTGCAAACATATGAAGCAAAGTGCTCAAGATGCATCACTATGAAAACATCAATAGAATAAAAAATAGATCGCATACAAAAAAATTAAAATATTTACATTACATATTTGATATTTCTGCAAATATTTCCATTATTTTGAGATTGATTTGTTTCATGATATATTGCAATAATTAAAGTATGATTTCTGATATAATCTGCCATGAGACTGCAGAGAAAGACAACTTCTTTATTTTGTTCAATATTTTTAATAATATAATAATTAAATTAAAGTTCTATGAAAATATGCTTGAAATACTAAATAAAAAAGATTGTTTCTTATGTACAATCTTATACAGTTTAAGTAAAAAAAAAATTATTGTTAATAATATACATATATAAATTGATAATTAAATAAAACAATTAATTAATTAATCGACACAATTCACGTTTTTTTTAGCTTTATGTCTAACATATATATATGTATATATATTTTTATTAATAAAAAATGTTTCTTTCTAATATAAATTAAATGAAAAGTATAATATGCCTTTAAATACTTTATATACATACCTATTGCAATAAACCAATAAAGAATGTTTTTCCTCCTTGTACTTTGGCATACATATCCTTTATGCCAATTATCTCGCAACACGCTTTTATTGCATGATGACAAACAGGCCCATTATCCTTCATGAAATTTTCTTTACAAATATTTTTATATTCTCAAACTGTGTAAAGAAATCATGTAACACTGAAAAATACAAAGTGATGTTAAAAGAGAAGAAATAAATTTTATATAGTATTGACAATTATTTTTTTACCAGTGTATTCCTTATATGTAGGAATATACATTAGTCTTTGACCAGCCCTATTTTTAATCGTCTTTAGGGATGCTTTGGCTTTTGATAACGCAAATCCAGCTAATCCATTTCCCTTTCCAGTTACTATAAATGAACTGATTCTAGTCTTACGTGCTAAATTACCGGTCATACAAGTTATCATTTTGTTTTCCAAAATCCAGGTTTCAAAACTTTCAAATGTATCTGTAGAAAACAAAGATATTAATTATATAAGATTCTAATATTTAGAACTGAAACATTAAAAAAAAATTGAAAATAAACATCGTATTACATGATTTTTGTATGTGTGTGATTTAACCATTATAATCCAATAATAGCATAAATATTAACCTTTTCCAATAAGATCTGATTCAATGCTTCTGCCATCCATTGTAACACTCGTGCAACCACATTCCAATGGCGATAATTTTATTTGCATTGATCTGGTCTGACTTTGTGGTAATTCCATAAATTTTTGCTTTCTTTCAAAATTTACAAGCAGTTTTTGCTGTTGAATTAATTCTTTTCCTCTAAACACAGGAGTGTTTATAGGAAATTGTATCGGAATTTTTCCCATGCAAATAATTTGCTCCTTATTTAGGAGCTCTCTCTTTTCACTACTCTTTTTGCTCTACCTCTGCGTCTTCCTGCATTACTGATATTTGTCACACCCTTTCATAATTCATCTTCAGGTCCTATAGAACAAAAGCACAGTGAAATACAAATTATTTTCTACTGTAAATATAAACTATTATCAAAATGCTATATCCATAAAAGTTCTACTTATTATTCGCAAAAAATATAGAGTTTCTCACATTATTTAATAAAGTGACTATTTTTAATAAATGTGAATGACTGACAAGCAATAAATTAAACAATATTAAACAATAATATACCTGACAAAAATTTCATAATTTTATTAGAGTTAAATTGATAAATTAATTTTAAATACACATTATATGTTAATTACATATAATGATTTAGAGACAATGATATATTTCATTTGCGTTACCATTGTTTACAGATTGAACATTTTTTATCAAATTATTTACAACTCTAAATATGTAGCATACGACAAGCTATTTTTAAAATCTATAAAACAAACAACAAAGTTGTTCATAGTTTTCACTCTTTTTTGTCATAGTCTGCTTTTAAGTGATCGTAAAGTCACAAAGCATGCACTATCTGCACTATCGGACGCCATTTTTGCTCCATCTTATCTTATTGAGATCAAAATTGCGGTACTTTGTTAATCTAGTGACTTTACGATCCAGTGTCCAACAATGTCGCAAACACCCGCAGTTAAATGCTCTAAAAATTTCAGCTAATAAATTCTGACGCCTAGTGGAAAATATGACAGTCCGATGGCCAATGGAAAAAATGTATAAAGATTTTAACTAGCGACATTTCTTGTTATAGTGAATTTCCAGGATCTTTGCGACAGCCAATCAGCATTCACCAGAATAAAAGTGGAATTTTCCAGCGAGAATAATGTTACACGATTGGCTGTCGATGCAAAAAATTTTCCTCTCGACAGCCAATCGCGCGACATTTGGGTCTGTGCTTTCTTCCGGGAACTCCCTAGAACTCGCATTCCCCAGAAAGCGAGGAAGCAGAGGATCTGTTCTTTTCAGCTGCACTGCTGCACTAGTGCAACAAGTTAGAAAGAGTCAAACATACTTTCTTTCACTCTAACTAATTGCACCAGTGCAGCAGTGCAGCTGAAAAGAACAGACCCAGAGTCAACGACCGCGTGGCGGCGTCGTATCGCGCGCGAAGGCGCGAGACCACGTGACTAGCCGGTAGATCGGCGATTGGTCGGCGGTGCGACATTTAAACCGACGAGCCGTTGCGTGTCTTCCGCGACAAGGTGAAAAACAGCAGTTCGAACAGAAGTTCGGCGAACGGACGAGTTCCACGGTATTCCGAGTTGGCGGAGGCGCGCGTTCACACGACCGTTGGATCTTCCTGCCGCTTCATCCCGCTCGCGAGCGCGCGATACAGGAGCTGCACGATAATTGCGAGAATCAAGTCGACGTTGGCCCGTTATTTAAACCGCCTCTTGTCTTGTCATATCTCTCGTGCGCCGCAAACATACCGCCGGTCGCGCGAGTCAACGTGACGAACGTAGGGTGTATTACGTAGTTCGAGGTCCCTTTGCCGGCGCGCGATGTCCAAGGACGACGAGTGTACGATACCGAATGTGATATACGATGCCAACACCGGCAACAGTTACATGAAGGGCCGGTTTTTCGGCAAGGTAAGGGAACCGACGTTCGAGCTCTGGCTCGCGTTCTTTTTCGCACGCTCCCTTCGGAGTCGCACCCGCATCACTTGTTGCATTCGCGTGCTCGAAGGGACTATGCGAGTCGCAGATACCGAAGATCGTGACACGCGAGAGAAATTGCACGTCCTCGCCCTTTTCGAATATTTCAACTGAAAATGTCGTTCGGAAAGTCAGTTGGGGAAATTTGTCATTGAGGGGACTCGCTTAAAAGTTCGTTGTTTCATGTAAAATTATGTTGTCGCATTTTTTTTTCGTTTGCGAAGCTGACACACCTGTTTCACTTTTTTGCGGAATATATATTGGCGATATTTTATAATTGAGGAACTTTAGAATTCCTCTTATCGTCGCGATTTTCATGCTTCACTTTAACCTCTCGTTTCTATACATGTGAAAATGTATATAATAAATATGATTTTTTTAATTACAATATACGACATATATGTTAAATGTAGCAATTTTATTAATTTGGAGTATATCAATTTTTAAATGTCAACAAACATAAAAATCTTAACGTTAACATTTAACTCAGTTTTGTTTATTACAGTTGCTAGAACTTTTTTATTATTATATTATTATAATTTTTATTATTATAAGTTATGTATATAAAATATATATATAAAATTTACTTTATATTAAGTATGTCTAATTGAAATGTATAATTGTTTCATAAAAATCTTAATTTATATTTCAGTTAAATATAATAATTAAAATTTTTTTCTAAATTTTATTACATTCTTGCATTATAATTTTTATTATTTTTATTATTTTATTTATTTATTTATTTTTGTTCCTTTATCCTTACATTTATTAGGGTGGCTTTGCAAAATGTTACGAGATCACAGAGACAAAGTCGCATCAAGTTTTTGCTGGAAAAATTGTGCCAAAGTCATTGATGATAAAGAGCAATCAACGAGAGAAGATGACGCAAGAAATAGCAATTCATAAAACCTTGAACCATAGACATATTGTTGGTTTTCATGGTTTCTTTGACGATTCTCATAATATCTATATTATCTTGGAACTCTGTCGCAAAAGAGTAAGTATTCTTTGCAACCTGTATTCTCTATGAATATTGATTGTTAATTATATTCCCTTTAAAAATAAATGTTTAATATTCTAGTCAATGATGGAGTTACACAAACGTAGGAAAGCACTGTCAGAATGTGAAACCCGATACTTTATGAAGCAAATCTTGGATGGAGTTTTTTATTTACATCAGCATAGAATAATTCACAGAGATTTAAAATTAGGGAATTTATTCTTGAATGACGAATTGCAAGTGAAGATTGGTGATTTTGGATTAGCAACTAAATTGGAACATGATGGTGAACGAAAAAAGTAATTGTTATTCATATATGCAACATATTCTTATGGAAATTTGATCCGTGTAAATTTTCTGAAAGATATTACATTATTTTTTCTAGAAGTAAAATTTTTCAGAGTTTAATCAATATTTATAAATAATTTCAAATATATTTTAATAAAACTTGTAGTCTCAAAAATAAGAATTAACATTTTTAATTATAATAACTTGATTGAATTTTTTGACAGAACTGTTTGTGGCACTCCGAATTATATAGCTCCAGAAGTGCTGACGAAAGTCGGACATTCGTATGAGGCCGACGTATGGAGTATCGGCTGCATAATGTATACTCTACTCGTGGGCAAGCCACCCTTCGAAACATCGAGTTTGAAAGAGACATATTCCAGGATTAAGCAGGTGCAGTACAAAACACCGCAACACATCAGCAAGCCTGCTATGAACATGGTAGCAAATATGTTACAACTGAATCCGTCGAGACGCCCGTCTGTCGCCAAACTGATGAAGGATATTTTCTTCACTTCTGGTACGTCTAATATTTTATTTAAACATGAAGTTGTGTAATTCTTTCTTTTATCATAAAGCAATTATAATCTCCTGAAAATTTTTAAATGTAATAATAAACTAATTTAATTTATTTATTAATTTACTATTGTTTTTAAGATATTTATAATTTTAAGTATTTCTTTTTTTCTATTTTTAGATATACTTTTTAGCTGTACTTCCAACAATCATTAGTGATATAAATATCTATGCATTAATTAATCTTTCTTTCTCATTACAATTTTGTATTGAAAAAGATATTTTTTTCTATTAATAAGCTAAAGGATAAAAAATTGTTTTTTTTCTCCTTTATTTTTTCTACTTGTTTTTTAATTGCAGGATATATGCCGACAAGTTTGCCGCTTTCTTGCTTGACAATGGCACCGCGTTTAGACATGCTTGAGTCGCATTGCAATCGCAAACCACTTGGAGAGATGAATCTTAATGGCTTCTCGGAGCAGGACATCCTTGCCTCTCGAATGCCAAATAGTCCATTGCGAAAAACCAAGCTTAGTACTGAGGTAATAGAACCACAGAGAGTCAATCACGATATCAAGAAGATGCTTTATACATTGAAGGAACAGCTGGCTGCAGTGTTGAAATATAAGCCTTCTAAAGATATAACTTCTTCAGGAGGTATGTTAATGAAAAAAACTATGTCTTTCTACAAATTTAGTATTTTTTAGTAAGATAGATTTAAAAAATAAAATAATTTCTATATAAAATATTTAAAAAAAATATCTTTAGATACATTTCTTAACACAACTAAAATGCTATTGTTATATTTGGTATTATTGTACAATTATAAAGATATTTTTGCAAAACTTACAGATGAAATGACTGATCCGGCGGCGCAACCTGTAATTTGGATTAGCAAATGGGTGGATTATTCAGATAAATACGGTTTCGGATATCAATTGTCTGATGATGGCGTTGGTGTAATGTATAATGATGGCACACGATTGATTATGCTAGCGAATGGCTTCAATATTCATTATATTAATCGTGAGGGCGACGAGTTGTACTACACGGTCAAAGAGTATCCGACTAATCTCGAAAAAAAGATGAAATTAATGAATTTCTTTTTGAAATACATGAATGAGCATTTGATGAAAGCAGGCGGCTCTATCGCGGTGAAGCAGAGTGATTCTCTGTCTAGAATACCTTACATACATCAATGGTTTAGGACCCAAACGGCCGTCGTGATGCAATTGACTAATGGCACAGTGCAAGTGAGTATTAAATTAATCGAACATCTCTATAAATTTCTTATTATTTCGCAAATCTTATATATCTTGTAATTAGGTATTTTTACCTACTTCTTATACTTAAACTTCTTTCTTAATATTTTTTTATTTAACTTTATTTTTTTATAAATTTATATGATATTTAAATTTGTGTTTTATTTTTCATGTTAATTTGTCTTTTCTTTGCATTATTTATTTTAATACACACCAACTTTTAATAATAAAAAAGCATAATATATAACTTTACTTAATGATAATCTCATTATTATGTCAGAACTGTTGTAATATTACTTTTTATCTTGGGATTGCTTTTCAGGTCAACTTTTTGGATCATGCAAAGATCATTATGTGTCCTCTAATGGCGGCAGTCACCTATATTGACCATGATAAGAATTTCAGAACTTATAGATTCCAGACTATTCAGGAGCATGGTTGCTCTAAAGGATTGGCAAAGAATTTGATGTATGCATATGAGAAGATTGGATTGATGCTGGCAAACTCTCAAATCCGATAAAAATGGTCTATTCTAAGAGAAAATGAGAGAGATAAAAAAAGAGGAAAAAAATGCTGCGCCTCCTGGTACCGTAAATCTATCTTTAGAAACGCAACATTTATATTTATTTTCTGATAATGCTATCTTTGTAGTGAAAAAGAAAAATTCTCCCTCTATTTCTCACTCGATTTTTGTACAGACTTATAGAATTTTGCTAGGCGAATTTTTTTCCTTTATTATTTAGTACGAAAAGAGAGATAGAGAAGAGGGAGAAGAGCCGATCGTGTTCAACGAAGGCGAGATACCTCGCGACAAGATCTTCGGCTTATTTCCATTCTATTTTTCAGTATGCCGTTTCTCATAAACATTAAAATAAATTAATTAATTGTTATCGAGCCTTCTGTTATGTTTCCAAATATAATATGAAATCGTAACTGCTAATATACATTAAAGTTAACCTTAACATTTAAAATTCTAAAAAAATCTTCACTCTTATATTCCTATTTTGTATTATTCTCCTGTCTAATTTCTTATTTCCTCTAAATTATTATTTCCTGTGCTAGTTGCTCAGAATCCTGCGAGATACTTCTTGTCTTCGTTGCTCCACAACAATTGCCTAAAAGATATTCTGCTCTGACTTTGCAAGTGAATCGTCTTCCATCCAGAAATCCTATTATGCCTATTACAAAAAAAAGGAAAGTGAGGGTAAGGATTATCACGATTCAATGGAGTAGTGCAATCTAATGTCTGATTTCATTCTCGCAGTTGAGATGAGAAACGAAATTTCGCAGAAGCTAGGTTTCTGACTAATGGTTCACTAGCTTAAAGTTTCTCATTCAAATTTGTTCAAAGCAATGCGACTAAATGTTAATCTCTGAACTATAATTCTTAAACTCTGATAACAAAAACTTATTTGAGAAAGGACTTATATTGCAAAACTTTTTATAATGACTTATATGTTTAAGGTTTTAACGACAAAAAAAAAGTAATAACATTTCGTTTTGCATAAATAAATATGAGAAAAGTAAGTGAACAATCCAAAATAATTCTTTTTTTAGTAAAATGTTTTATTTTTTGTTTAAGCTGTGTATTGTTTCTAGGCAAAAACATATAGATATAAAAAGATATAATTTTCTAAAATAAAGGGAATTTTTATGTTTCATTTCGTATAGAACGATAATTTTTTATTAGATCATGAAAAAAATAAGAGTATTCTATTAAAATTTGTTTAACATCTAAGATACATTTGTGTTGGAAAAATTATTTTAAAAATTTTTTTATTTAAACGAAACAAACAAATTCCCTTTATTTTGGAAAACTACTTTTGGAAATAATACTTAAATAGCTTAAATTAAAAATTGGATATTTTACAAGAAAGAGAATATTTTTAAATTTATTTTGTAAATGTGGATGTAAAGATACAAGAATTAAATATATATAAAAGATAAATTATGACTTTACTGTTAACTTATAAAAAAAATTTAGTTATAAATCAATAAAATTGAATATTAAACAAATTACAGACAAAACTTGTCAAAACTTTCTTAAACATTTCCTATAGAATCGAAAAAAAACATGTGAAAAATGAATAATGATTGATTTTAAATTTAAAAAATAAAATGTACAATTTTTCTTGCATTGCTTTGATTAGTTAGAAAGATTTAAAAGTACAGAATTGATTATATCGAACTATTTTGTGTGTATGAAGACTATGCTAATTAATAGAGAGACGACTACACGAAGATATATTTTTTTATAAAGCGAAATGACCAATGTTAACTAAATCGATGCGCAATGTATTATACTGCCAGAACTATGGTTTTTTGTATGATTTTTTTTTTGTAATATTAGATTGTTACACAGAACTTACATCAATTTTTATAGAATTATATTGTAATATTGGATATTTACAAAAGTTTTCGTTTTTTTTTCTTTTCTTGATCTTGATGGAACGTGATTACATCTAAAGATTCGAAAGATCGATAGATCTAACGAAAGAACTACGATTAGAAAATCCAAAAAAATCGAATAAATAAAATATTTGAGAAATCTGTAGATTTCCGAATTCTTGTAAATTTCGTAACTGGAGGAGTTAATGATCTGAGCACTCAAATACTTAAATAATCTAAAGAGATAATATGTCATCAAATCTATCGACTCTTTGATTTATATTTTTCACGTTTTTAAACTTTTCTAAATTTAAAGATTCTGGAAAATCCAATATACTAATGGTAATTCGATGTAATTGATTTATTTAAATATTTATAAGTATAATATTTATAATAATTTTTTTTGGTTATTATGATGATAAGTGAATTGTGTTATGTTAAATTTTAATTCGTATTACCGATTGGATATTTGAAATTTCAACTCGATTAAATATTTTCATTTTTTATATCTTGGAAATTTTTGAAAATCCACAGATTTTAGCAAGTCTGAATATGAAAAATTGAAACATTTAATCAAATTGAAATTTCAAATAGCTGTTAACACAAATTAAAGTAAAGCATTATATACATTTCATTTAATATCAACGATTTAAAAAAAATTATTAAAAACGAAATTGCTTAGCAATTTCCCACAAAACGGGAAACGGGAACTTTTGTAAAGATTGTAAAGATCCGTAACTCATACGAAGAGACTAAAGGAGAGGAAGGGAGGGATGAAGTTCATTTTCTCTGAGTGTATAACTAATAATAATAATAGTAAGTAATAATAATAGTAAGAAATATAATAAGTAATTAATAATTAGAAATTATATAAAAAAACGATATTAGCGAATGACGTTATGTTAAGTTAGATTTATGTGTTTAGAGAAGAAATAATTGTAATATGCTAAATTCAGATAGAAAATTAAGATGTACATAAAACAATAAATATGCTAAAAATTAAAATGTACATAGAGAGTTTGTAACGAATAGAATTATAAATAAATGCGATATATGCGAGGTGGATGATGCATTTACGATTAGGAAAAAATGAATTTACTGTTAGGAAAATTATTAGGATAGTATTTCTGCAAAATGTGAATGTATAATATCGTTTAAAAAACGTATAATATAAAAATAAAGTGTCTCTTTTTTTTACATGTAAAGAAATTGCTGTGTCGCAAAATTCACCTCGATAAATAAGAGATCTGAGAATCTTTCTAATGAAATGAGATTATTCGCTCATTGATTGAAATTGTTATTAACATTTGTTTATTAGAGAATCGAATCTGAAACAAACTTTGCATTTTGCTCTTAGCATTAAGTTATGCATCAATATGCTTTCCTCAACATATATTTAAAAGCTTTGCACTTGCACTAAATTTTGATGAAAGAGCATATTCCAAAAATTTTTATGCATAATTATTCTATATATTCATATAATTAATTCTATATTTTGATATAAAAGTATGTTTAAGTATTATAATTTATTTAAATATTATTTAGAATATTATATAATTATATTTAAAGTCTTATATTATATTGAAATATTTTCACATTGCTTATGAATAAAATAAAATATCAATATCAATAATTTATTTATATAATTTGTGCGTAGAATGATAAATTTTAATAAATTTTTTAACTATCTCAAAAACTAAAAAATTCAAACATTTTGAGGAAATAACTAAAGAATTTATTATTATATATTTCAATATAATATAATTTATTATAATTTAACAATTTTGTGAAAGTTTAAATGTAACTATAGCAATCCAGCTCTTTTTGTGAAAGTTGGATACAAAACTTTGTTATTAATATTTTCCATGTATATTCATTTTAAACTTATATAGAGGAATGATACTTCCAGTGCAAAGTATTGTGGCTGTAAAGTTATAACTTTTCAAAAGGATTATTTGTTATTGGGCTTTGTTTTTCGATTAACTACAATCATTAGCGCATCCAACAAAATTAATATATAAAAAAATTACTGGAAAAAAATTATTTTAATTTTTTTTTTAACATTGCGTTTTGACCTGGGATGAAAATACTTTAGCGAGCAATGCTTTTCATTGGTGATACAATAGCATGTATTTATAATACTTTCACATATATTATATTTTTGAATTATTGTAAATATGTATATTTTCCTTCTTTTCGTTCGGGATTTACCGATCGTCGATTATACAAGATTCCCTAGAGAAGTTTCCGCGAAATTACGCTATGCGGCACTCGAGACCTTCTAAAGATGGAGAAAACCGCCGAGGAATCCTCGTTTTGTGCGGTCTTCGCGGGATCGACAGTGGATCAACGTCACGTGTCGTTCTTGGAATTAGCCAATGACACATGCTCGCAACCGTGCAGTCGAGTAAGAGTCGTTCGAGTGGTCGTCGTCGTCATCATCATCATCATCGCCGGGACTTTACACGCAGTATCGGACGGGAACGTGATGGGATCTTGATATAAAGTGTACGTCTTCCTTCATCCGAAATAAGCAGTTTGATTTTGAGGTAAGTTCCTTCCCTCCTCCTCCCATTTTTCCGCCGATCGAGCGAAATTATACCCGCTAGTGTAAGCGTAATTCGAGGAATTCGAATCAAAGAAGCGAAGAACGTAATTATATAAAAGCGCGGGCACATCTTTACGTTTCAAGAAAATTCTTCTTAACTCTAAGTAATTAACATCGATGATGTTTTTCGATTTCTCTGTATTTTCATATTACATATAATGATACAACATGTAGTGATTCGATATTAATTATTGATTTAAATAAATAATGTATTTTATAAAAATTTGACAAACATGACAGCGCGAAAAAGAGCAAGTATTTTTCGTGAAACTTTACGACCTTGACAAGCTAACTTGTAATTAAATATGCTTAATTACAAGTTAGCTTGTCAAGATATTTGTATACATATTTTTTAAGTTTTTATACAAATTTATCTAAATATAAAACACAGATAAAAATTGGGAGAAAAACTTAGAAAATTCACGCGGGAAAAAAAGGAGAACGAATTCTTACAAAATCAGGTATCATCTCAACTGACCTGTTATTTATATTTTTTGTTATTGTTACGTAAGTCCTATTGTGTATGCTGTTATCGATATAACTATATTCAACATATACCTTGTGTCACCGGTATAAGTCGAATTCCTATGCTTTGACGAGTCATCTCATTAAGGAATATATCAAATTACAAAGTGATATCTGCATTTGCGATGGATTTTTATGTTTGTTTTTTGTGTGAAATGTAAATCGTCTGCAGATATCATAAATGACCAAAGAGCACGCATATCTATGTAATTGGGAATTCTTTTGTAAATCTTCCGTAATTATTCTGTAAACAATTAAATTTTGTTTTGATTATGGACGATTCGAGATTTCGGAGACGTCGAGAGATTTCCAAGATGTTTGATCGAACACATATGTGATTGACATAACATTAACGTTATCGCGAGAATTCAGGTAGCTTAGACAATAAAAGGGAGACTTGGAGATCCGATAAACCTTAGACACACACACATGTCGCACATTAAACATCTCTGAGTAAATCTTAAAATAAATTAATCCCACAAAAATTTGGCCGCTATCCCCATTTATAATTTTCAAAAAATTTGTGATATTTCTTCTTTATGACTTTAGTAGAAATTTTCTTTTGCTCTATTAAGATTTCTATTACAGTAGAAATTTTCTTTTGATTTATTAAGATATTTTGTATTTAATCAATATAGATGAAAAAATATTTATAATTATGATCAACTTATAAATAATTCAAATTAAGAGAGATCTCTTGAAAAAAGTTATAATCTTGATTAATTACGAAGATTTTTAAATAGATACGCAAATCATGATTTTCGCGATATTGATCATACAGATGATAAATTTTAGATTAACGCAATTAAAAGGCTTTCGCTTTGATTAATTTTTAAATTATTTAAGAATTATACTATATATTTTACTTATCGCTCGCGTAAAAATTTAACTCTGAAACAATAGGTAAATTCAAATAATTATTTGCACACCTTGTTTGATTTTCTATATATAACAATGTACACACTTCGTTCTCTATATGTATAACATTGTATACATAAGATAACCATAAAATGTGTGCGTGATAAGTATAGAACGATAAATGATTTGAAGAAATAGAACATGAGAAAAGTGAATATTTTATCCTTCTTGATCGTTCGTCCTTGTAAATTAATATCATTGAATAAAAAGTGAAGTCCGGAAAATCAGAAAAAGCAGAAAATTAATATCTACTCGTAAGAATCAATTCTTTTACACACACGCACACAGACACAGACACACATATATATAATTATATATATATATATATATATATATATATATATATATATAATTACACGAGAAAGAGAGAGAGAGAAAAAATTCTATTGTATTTTAAACAATAGCTAATAGCTTAACAAATTTTCTAATGGAAATAGACATACATTTTTTTTAACCTTTTTTTTAATTTAAATTTTTCTCTTAAACTAAAATCAATTACAGAAATTATGTTAACGAGTTGTCTTGACCTTAATTTTCTTTCTTCCTCTATATTTCTTCCGCAAATCTTTTTTTAAAAATATGTATTGATGTTCGTCCTTTTCTTAGAGCAGTTTATAAAATTAATCGAGCCTTTCATTAAACGAAAAGCAGTGGAAGGCGGTATTGAATAAATCAATAATACTATCTTTATCAATGCGATAGAAGAGAAAGCGTTACGTTAACGCGTAACATGATGTTCAAATAACGTTACAATTTATATCGATCGTGCGTCAACAATTAATCTTAATTGACTATTATATAACAATTTAAGGGGATATCAAGGAAATAGACACGAGAAAAAAATGTGTTTCAAATAATTTGCACCCGAATATGGATTAACGATTATTTTATTTTAAAATACTCTATTCATTATTAATTTAAAAAGTCATATAAAAGATAAAAAAATAATATAATAAGATACGAAAATGTATAATAATGTAATATAATGTTAAAATATCTTGTAGAGAAACATTCATCAATTCTCGAAAAAGAATAATTAAATCACTGAAAAAATAGATGTTACGAATAAATATAACATACGTCGATATTACTCTTGTAGCTTTGCACTCTATAAAAGGTTTCTCATCATTATTTAAACTTGTGCGAGCAACAAATTCGAAACTTGGTTATTTCGAGAGCAAAAAATTCAATACCAAATTTAAGCGAGCAACAAATTTTTGTCTAGTACTCTTGTAACTTTTCACGCTGTGGAAGGTTTTCTGCTATTGTTTAAATTTATTTTGCAAGCAACAAATCGAATATTTCCAGCAACAAATTTTTATATTATTATTACATATAATTTTGTTGCTATATATATTGTTCCGCTAACTTAATCTTCTTTTAACGGAACATTATTTTTTTTAAAAATTGACAGAGCAACAAATTTTTTCTTTGACAACTTTTTAGCAACAAATAAAAATATCAATTATAATTGATTTATCTTGTTCCGCTAACTTATAAAATGTATTTTATTTCCTTATCGTCGTGCGAATGTCTGGCTAATTCCCGTCTTTTGTATATATTACGATTGCGATTAATTGCTCTGACAATATTCTGATAACGATGTCCCAATGAGGACAGATGGATGCACTTATGGCGACAATAGTACACAGGAACGCGAGAAATCACTAGATAATAGAATTAGCATTTTGAAAAAAAATTGAAAGATCATACAACTTAATTCAATCGAAGGGAGATTCTCTCTGTTTGTTACAATACACTTATATTATCGTAAGTTTGTTTAATTCTGTAAACAATGTGTTAGTATAGATAAAAATATCTTTCACGAGAAATATCGTATATCTGGAGGAACAATATTTTCCTCGTCTAATCATTTTATAAAATTAATTTTCCATTATACTTGTTGATAATGTTTACATTAACTTTGACATATTTCTCAAAATTAATATTTTTTTATATTGTACCATGTGTGTTTCGTAAGCGGTCCAAAATAATAATTATCTAAATCTATCGTGGCTCCTTTAATTTCTCAAGACTTGCTTTAACATCTGAGAATTCTAGAGCATTTCGGTTTTGTAATTTTTTAACAACCTCTTCATTTTCGGAAGATATTTTCACAGGTGCGTAAACGTGCTCGAAAAATTATTATTATGTTTTTACATCTTTAGCAAAACTCCAAGTCATTCTCTATATTGTCTCGCCTGTGTTTATCGTAACGTCGTTATCAAAGTATTAGGCATCATTTAAGCCAGTTTTACAATTTTTCTTATAACTCGATGTTTGTAAGAGTATAAAGTTATATCTTCTAAATATGATTGTTTGCATTTTGTGCCGCATCCAAATAAGATCTTGACTTGAGGATATTCTAAAAGAGACATAATTTAAGAAATATCGATTTTCAGAAATTTCGTAAAATGTTTAAGAATATAATATTATATAATATTATATAAAGGATACTTGTGTGTAAGCAAAAAATTTTCAAGAGTGTAATTGATAATGAGAGTTATAAATCATCACATAACTGAGAATTTCCCCATATTATTCACCTATTAAAACAATAAATCTTATCTATGATAATAAAACAAGCTAATCTTATCTATTAGAAACATGTTTGTGTGGCAGCCGCTAAAATTGTATAACATCATTAATTCGTTAATTATATCATATTTGGTAACAAAGTGTAATGGACTTGTTATTCGTTGAGAACAGATTAAATTTGCGCTGCGATCTGTTAAATTTCCCTGCGGATCTCCATCGTGTAGATTAAATTTTCCATGAATACATATACCTCATATAATAACTCTGGTAGTAAATTCGTATGTATGTATCCGAATAGAGACACGAATAAAGTTTAAATAGATACATTGATACATTGATGTTGACACACGAATTTGTTAGTACTATACTCATAAATCACGCTCAGAGAGACTCTTTCAAGCGAAAATTTACATATGTTAAAATAATATGTTAAAATTTATCTTTTGCTTGTTTTAGAAGCAAGACATTTGATTTATTGAAAATTTTCGCGTTTAATAAGATAATCAATTCCTCTGAAACATTAACGTCCACATTGTTGACAACTTGGGAGAAATCGTGATTATCGAATTTATCATCTTATTAAACTAATTATAGATATACTTTTTTATGATACTAGTTAAGATTAATAGAAATTATTAAAATACTTATTAATTATTAAAATACTTTTTATATTATTCGACAAATATTTTCATATCTTGTCGTTGAATAATACATCAATTTTTTTTATACAAACGATTCTATCTTAATAATCGCCTTAGTATTACATTTTATATTTTCGAAGATAACTAGTTTATTTGTAAAGAAAATAAGACAAATGCTTTTAGTGCGTTTGTCGCTCTGCATTAAGAATATTAATTTCATTGATAGTACGAGTCTAGAACAATTGTAAAAACTTATCTTATCTAAAATCTTTTCAAATAAAGCAACTACTTGCACGTGTAAATCGATGTAAAATTAACGTTAAAAGTATAATTACGCGTTATTAACAATATGAAATTTCATCAATATGTAAAAATCAGCAGGGATTATAGAACTGAATTACTAATATAATTAAGAATTTGATTATTTTCTAATTATGGCTTGCAAGAGTTAATTTGTAGTATTTGATAAAAAATAGTTGTAATTATCTTTAGCGACTTTATGTATATGGGAGAAAAATTATTGGAGGCAGAAGACGTCTACAGCATTTTCAAGCAGCTCTTTTGACTGTCATAATGAGATGCAATAACGCGCAATGATACGCCTAGTATATAGAAAATACTTCGAGATCGTGGACATGTGGAAACATACATAACTGATAATGCGCAACAGAGAATCTTTGATTACTTAATTTGTTGTACAAATAATGATAAGATATCAAGCGATACTTTATCAAGTTTTGACCCTCCCGTTTAACGGAAGAAAAAGAGACAAAGAGAGCCACGCAAAGATACACGATGTGAACATCGAGTCCTCTCTCCTTTTGCCTTTTTCTTGCGTCGAACATCGTCGGATCTTACTCAATCGCGACGGGTAAATATTGTTTATGTGTGTATGTACATGAGAATCTATTATATCTTGCAGAAGAACTTCGAGAGTGAGACGGTGTAATTATCATCATGGATGGGAGAGTGCGCACCGAGAAAGTGAAGAATCCCAGAGCAAGCGCCAATATTTTCAGCGCCTTAACATTCTCGTAAGTACACAAAACAAGTATCACTTGATAAAATCCCCGAGAAAGGGATATTAAAACTAAGAGACAGAGAAAGAGAGAGGAGATGGTGGTTCACCAGGAAATCAACGATAACATTTTGATGGCTTCATATGGACGTGAGACTTCTTTATAAAGCGACAGAAGGATAGTCATCATAGATGAATGAAAACGCGAGAATCAATCAAGATTGCAATTTTAATTGCCTTGAATTAAATTACGAGATTTAATTAGAATTAATATAACATATTCTCATCTGATCTGTTACATCTCGGTGTAATATGGCACATTTCTATTGAATGAAAACATGAGGATCAAACAAGACAATGACAATGATTTTAATTGCTTTAAAGAAAATCAAAGAGTTTAAAATTATATTAAATTACAGTAAATTTCATTAGAATTAATCTTATTCTTGTAAAGTTTTTTATACTTTAATAATATAATCTTACATATTTTGATTTATAGTAATTTATAATAATATTGAATCTTACGTATCATCGATTTACGGTTGATAAATGCCTAAAGGGATAAATATTATTAGCTTTCTAATTTTATTGTATTTTCATAGAGTGACTAATTATTTTTTTTATTAGAATCGACAAAAACAGAAAGAGAAAAAATAAATCAGATGCATCTTGTTTTCTATCTCTTTGCGTGTGATCATCTATTAAAAATATAGGGCATGTTATAAAGATATGAAATCGGCCTCTTGAACGTGATAAGCGAACTAGAATATGAGATGCGAATTATCTTCGCATCCAAAGTCGATAAGATACGAATAATATCATCTTATACTTTGTTTAGCAAAATATTTTTTTCTTAAATTCCGTTCTTGATGTTTATATTTTATAATACTTGCGTTATCTTCGTGTTCATTTTTTGTATTCGATGATATAACGCGGAAAATGCACTCAAGAATGCATAGCATTTGATTCATTCCTCTTATCATCGTGATTTAAATCCATTTCTTTTTATCTTCTAGTGCAATATTTTTTACAAAAAGTCATTTTTCGCGATAAGAGAAATCTTCGATCACATATATATATATATATATATATATATATATATATATATATATATATAGAAAGAGAGAGAGAGAGATTATTTTTATAAAAATCCAACGAACAGGAGATCTTTTCATATTTGAATGATGCACGAATTTAATAAACAAATTAAGAAATATTTTTAATAGTAATTTTTTTAACACAATCGATTATTGTTTAATATTATAATAATTTAATAATTTTTAAGAAGAATTTTTATAATTTTTTTCTTACGTGACACAATGCATAAACCGATAAAATATATTTTTCAATAATTTTTTATGTCAAATTCTATTCTTAATTGTTAGTTAGTCTTGCTTGTATCACGATTGCATTAAATATCGACATTATCTTCGCGATTACTGTGAATTTGAAATTAAAGAAAGACATATATTTGTCTTGCGAAACACACTATAAAGATAATAATGAAGATAATCACGAACGAAAGATAAGAGATGCAAAATATAATATTTTAAAGGAAAAAGCGTAATTCGCACAAATTGGATGAATTGCGGACGATTTGTGCGAGTAAAACGTGTATGCTTTGCTTTTTTTCTTCGCAGTTGGATTCTTCGCACTTTCTTGGTGGGTTACCGCAGAGATCTTGAAGTAACTGATTTGTACACACCGCTTAAAGAACATACAAGTAGTATTCTTGGTGTTAAAATAGCGAAGGCCTGGGAGAAAGAATGCGAGGCGTACAATCGTCGGCTGGAGAAGAATGCGAGGACTGGATCCCAAAAAAAGGTTGGCGAGCCCAGTCTGTTGAGGGTCATCATAAAGTGCTTTGGCTTCAAAATCTTACTATATGGAATAGTTCTAGCCATAATGGAGATTTTGCTCAGGTACGAGTATTAAGCATAAATAATTTAAACATAAATATGTAATTTAATAATATAATATGAATTTATCATTCATAAATTTTCTCGCATCTAATAAACTTTTTCGTTAAATACGCAGGCTGTTGCAACCGATCTTTCTGGGCCAAATGCTCCGATATTACAATACGCAGGAAGTTGACGAGTTCCACGCTTATTTGTACGCGTGCGGTATCATCCTGTGTTCTGCCATCAATGTGTTCGTCATTCATCCATATATGTTGGGAATCTTGCACATGGGCATGAAGATACGCGTGGCTTGCTGCTCACTCATCTATCGCAAGACATTGAGGTTGACTAGGACCGCACTGGGCGAGACAACGATTGGACAGGCAGTGAATTTATTATCCAACGACGTTAACAGGTTCGATATTAGCATCATATTTCTGCATTACTTGTGGATTGGACCCTTAGAGACCATCGTCATTACGTTCTTCATGTACTATTTCCTCGACATTGGAATATCCGCCATTATCGGAGTCGCCTCTCTGTTGATGTTTATTCCTTTGCAAGGTGAGACATTCTTCTAATTGTTTTAAACGATTATTAATAATAATTCTCGTGAAAAAGTTACGAAATCGCAAAGTCTTTAATTTTGTAATTTAACAAATGAAAAAAATGATTTAATATGTCTGATTTAATATATCTTTGTATATCTGCAAAAAATAGTTGAGATAAAAGAAATTAAAAATATAAAAATTTGTGTTTAGCAACGAGAATCATCTTGCTCAATCGAGATTAAATTCCTAAATTTCTTAATTAAATTTCTAAATTTATTTTTGAATTTTATAATTACTAAATTATCGCTCAAAGATATTAAATTTTAAATTTCTTATTTCGATTTTGTATTTTACTCTGTTTTCTGATATTTCTAATCATAAAATTATAATAAATCTCGTATTCTTCTTATTAATAACATATAAATTAATAATTTATATTATTAATATATATTATTAATATGTATTATTAATATGTTATTAATATATATTGTGTGTCTAATATATTTATCAGTTATATATACATAAAACATTCGAATATTATTTTCATTATTTCATTCTCTTGACTTCGAAATTCCTTAGGATGGCTGGGCAAAAAATCATCGGAACTAAGATTAAGAACGGCAATAAGAACTGACGAGAGAGTGCGATTGACAAATGAGATTATCAGCGGCATTCAAGCTATTAAGATGTACACGTGGGAAAAACCATTCAGCGCGCTTGTAGAAAAAGCGAGAAAGTGAGTACACTTATATTGTTTAATAAGTAATGTACTTAATTGTATTATTTATTAAATAAAAAAACCCCATACACAAATTTAAACTTTCGTAAACGAAAGTGGAAAGTATTTTAAAAATTTAAGTGATTAATGTTCATTATTTTTTAATGTTTTGGGTTGAGTCATCAATATGTTGAGAGCGAGTCTGTCGAGAGCACTCGATTTGCTTTTATTTTTAACTGAAATCGCTATTAATACGATCAGATAAAATAATAATAATCGGAAGCTATCTTTTATTATACTATTTTATCACAATTATATTATCGAAAGATATAGTTTTTTAATACAAAAAGTTACGATAAAAATCGTTGCTCTTTAAAAATCTACTTTGTTTTTCGAATATTTTGTAGACATTGTGTTTATAAATATATTAATATAGAATATTATAATCCAAACTTTCCTTCTCTCTTCGAATTTAAATTATTGAAATAAAATTAAATTTGCAATTGTCTACAAATCAAAACATTAAACATCCTACATTACATTTCTAAAGTTTAAATAATCAAAAACCATTAATTTTCAATATCGAATAATTTTGAATTCGATAAAGTCCGCATTCTATTATCGAAAATAAATGAAAATCAATGTCGCGACAATTTTTTTATGCACATGATGATTTATCGCCACTTTAAAAAAAAATTAATTCATATGTGTATTTAATCGATGTCTACATGCGGATCGCGATTTTATTTTATTCTGGTATTTGCGTTTAGTCGTAAGCTTCATTGGATCAGGTGACCATATTTTTCGCGGATCGAAAAAAAATAAACAGAATTTTGAAGAGAGAACGCGAAAAAGAAAAAAAAACAGGTAAAATTTGTTCACAGGAAGGAAGTCAACGTCATCCGAGGAACATCGTATATCAGAGGTGTCACCATGTCATTCATTATTTTCACTACGAGAATGTCGCTCTTTATCACAATACTGGCGTATGTGTTATTCGGGTTCAAGATAACGGCCGAGAAGGTTTTCATGATAACAGCTTATTATAATATTTTGCGTACGACAATGACTATTTTTTTCCCGCAAGGTATGTATATGTCATCGCGAATGACATGCGTAATTAATAACTTTTAAACATTAAATGTATTTAGCACTTTTTCATTTCTTCGTCTCTTCCTTGTTATTTTTCCTTCCTTACTCTTTTGTCTTCTTCTTCCTGTATTTTTTCCTCTATTTTTTTTCTCTTTTTCCAGGAATAACACAAGTGGCGGAGGCGATGGTATCTATAAAACGTTTACAGAAATTCATGATGTATGATGAAGTAGCATCTCCTGAAACCAAGTTAATGAAGGAGAACACGAAGGAGAATACAAAGGAGAAATATAAAGAAAATGCGAATGAGAGAGAGAACTATAATCAGAATTTGAATGAAAATTACAAAGAAACCGCGAATGAAAACTATAAGGAGAACGTGAATGAAAATTACAAAGAAAATGTGAAAAATGACTTGACCAATCAGAAAAACAGCGATCGAATGAACGCAGATCAACCGGATCAACCGGATTATATCGAGCACTGTATTTCCATTGAAAATGGTAGCGCCAAGTGGCTGGACTATGAGTCGGAGGATACCTTGCAGAATATCAATATTAAAGTACGCCCGGGTGAATTGATCGCTATCGTTGGCCAAGTTGGTTCAGGCAAGAGCAGTCTAATGAACGTCATCCTAAAAGAGCTGCGTTTGCATCAAGGTTCCATTCAAGTATGTGAACAATTTTTTTTGACGATATATTATTAAATAAATTTAATAAATTTTTTAAGTAATAAATGTTAGAAACAAATTTTGCTCGAAAAGAAATAAAATATTTAATTATTTATCAGAATGTAACAGAAAATAATTTTATCATGTTTTTAAATATTTTATACACAGGTTAATGGCAAGATTGCCTACGCCAGTCAAGAACCGTGGCTGTTTGCCGGATCAGTCAGACAAAATATTTTGTTCGGACGAAAGATGGATCAAATCCGATATGATCGCGTGGCCAGAGTGTGTCAATTAAAAAGGGATTTTAGCATGCTGCCTTATGGCGATAAGACGATAGTAGGCGAGAGGGGTATAAGTCTTTCCGGTGGACAACGTGCAAGGTTAGTTTCCTTGATTTCGATAAAATAAAATTTCTTTAAGTAGAATTTAATGTTAATTTAATGTTAATTTCAGAAGTAGTTATAGATTACGTTACAAATAGCACATTTGTGATTTTTTCTTTTTCGTTTTATATAAATAATATAATAATAATAATAAAAGCATGTTAGATATGTGTATATATTGATAAAATGCTAATGATTGTCAGAATAAACTTGGCGAGAGCTGTTTACGCGGAAGCCGATATATATCTTATGGATGATCCTTTGAGCGCTGTGGACGCTCATGTGGGCAAGCACATGTTTGAAGAGTGCATCGACAAATATCTACACGGAAAGACTCGGATTCTTGTAACTCATCAATTGCAATATTTACATAACGTCGGCAGAATTATCGTTTTGAAAGACGGAGTCATCCAAGCAGAAGGGTATGATTCTAAAACTTCCTTTAGCTATTTTATTCTTTTTATATCGATCGATAAATCTTTGGATGAGAATATAATTTAAAGAAATATATAGAATACGTAGTACATTTCGTCAGTTTATACAAGAAATATTTTCATCAGCACTTATGATGAGTTGGGTTCCATGGGAGTGGATTTCGGTCGGTTATTGGAAAATCAAACGCAAATGGATGAAAAAACCTCTCGACCCCCTTCAGCTCCCGTTAGCCGAAGCAATTCGCGTGCCGGCAGTATTACATCTCTGAGTTCTTTTATGACAATTGATGCTACAAAACAGGAACCTGAGGAGGTAATTTTAATTATTGCATAATCTTAAATTTTAATGTAGATTGTAATGTTATATAAATTAATATAATACATTAATGTAATCTTGTTAATTTTTTAGGTGACTGAGATGCGATCAACTGGTAGTGTTGCCGGCAAAGTATACGCAAATTACTTACGCGCCGGTGGTAATTGGTGCATAATATTCATTATCACTATGCTTTACATATTATCGCAGATTTCAGCCAGCGGTGGTGATTTCTTTATCGCGCGGTGGGTCGACATCGAAGAAAATTATGTAAATATAATTGTATACAACAGATAATCATTGCAACCGGTTTTTAAAAAAAAATTCAAGAAATTTTGAATAGATTTTGAAAAATTGTGCAATACAAATATAAACTTAAACTAGATCTTAACTTACTTTTACAGGTGAATCAAACTGAAGATGGCATCGTGGAAGATCCGAAGAGTCCTCTTACTCGCATAGAATGTATCTATATCTTCAGCGGATTAACCGTGCTAACGATTGGCGTGACTCTGATCCGTTCATTCGCCTTCTTCGGGACGTGTATGCGCGCTTCCATACGATTACATGATCGTATGTTTCGCAGCATTAGCCGTGCTACAATGCGCTTTTTCAATACTAATACGTCAGGACGCGTGCTCAACCGCTTCTCTAAAGATATGGGTTCGGTGGATGAGATGTTGCCTACTGCGCTAATTGACTGTCTGCAAATCGGTCTATCGCTGCTCGGTATCATCATCGTGGTCGCTATCGCAAATGTATGGTTGCTAATTCCTACTGTAATTGTCGGCATCATTTTTTACTACTTGAGAGTCTTCTACTTGGCTACTAGTCGTAGCGTCAAGCGTCTTGAAGGCATCAGTAAGTAATTTAGGCTTTGTTTTACGATAAGGAATAAATATAGTTTAATCGATAGAATAAAATAAATTCGATTGCATTAATGTTAAATCTATTGATTAAATATAAATTCTTTGAGTATTGAAATTTTTAATCTTTCTTTCCCTAGCTCGCTCGCCCGTCTTCAGTCACTTGAGCGCGACTCTTCAAGGGCTACCAACGATCCGCGCGTTTGAAGCTACTCAGGTTCTCACGGACGAATTTGATCGTCACCAAGATCTTCATTCATCCGCATGGTACATCTTTATTGCATCCTCACGCGCCTTCGGTTTTTGGTTAGACGTTTTCTGTGTGATTTATATCACACTGGTGACATTAAGCTTCCTTGTACTGGACAATTATACTCGTGGTTCGATGGATGGTGGATATGTAGGCCTGGCAATCACTCAGAGTATCGCCCTCACTGGCATGTTTCAATGGGGCATGCGCCAAAGCGCCGAGCTGGAAAATCAGATGACCTCAGTAGAACGCATCCTCGAGTATAGGTACACATCTATCTTTATTTCATATTCCTTGATAGCTTTGAGCTATTAGAATTTTTATATTTTCTTAAATTCCTAATTGTTTAGAATTTTGCATGTTTGATATTTTGGATTTTTGGGAAGTTTGAATTTTTTAAATTTTAGAGCTTCTTTTCATTTAAATCTTGTATTTTTTCCAAGATTTTAATTTTCTTAATATCTAATATCTCTATAATCTTAATATCTATTTCATATCTTTCAATATATCTGTAGATCTCAAATTCATAAAATTTAAATACATGTTAGTTTAATCTTCAAATTAAAACTCTTGCAGCAAAGTGGATAGCGAGCCTCCTCTTGAGAGCACCCCTGATAAAAAGCCCAAGTTTGAGTGGCCAGAAGAAGGCAAAATTGAATTCAAGAATGTTTACTTACGTTATGCGCCGTTGGAACCGCCAGTATTGAAGAATCTTAGCTTCGTCATTCATTCGCGCGAGAAAATTGGTATTGTTGGCAGGACTGGTGCCGGCAAATCGTCTCTGATTCAAGCTCTTTTCCGTCTCGCCGACATAGAAGGCCCGATCGAGATTGATGGCATTGATACGAGTGAGATTGGTTTGCACGATTTGCGTTCCAAAATCAGCATTATTCCGCAAGAACCGTTCCTGTTTTCCGGTAGTTTGAGACGGAATCTCGATCCGTTCGATTCGTACAGGGATGAGTTGCTATGGCAGGCACTCGAGGAGGTCGAGTTGAAGGAGATGGGTCTGGAGGCGCACGTCAATGAGGGCGGTTCCAATCTCAGCGTTGGTCAACGGCAGCTGGTTTGCCTGGCACGCGCCATCATCAGAAACAACCCGATACTTGTGCTGGATGAGGCGACCGCTAATGTGGATCCACGAACAGACGAACTCATCCAAATAACAATCAGAAAGAAGTTCGAGAAGTGCACAGTATTGACAATAGCCCATCGGTTGAACACCGTCATGGATAGCGATCGTATTTTAGTTATGGACGCCGGCACAGCTGTGGTGAGTCAATTTCTTTACCCTTCTTGCTCTTTATTTAGAATAAGTTTATTATTATTAGAAGAAGTCCTTGAATCAAACTCTTTATCATTTACATATTTTATAATCGTATATCGAATTTATTCTTTCTTTTTGCTCAGATAGAATAAAATTCACTTTTGTATAATAAAGTATCGTTGAAATTATATGTTGAAAATGTTTGAACATTTTACAATTTCATATGAATATTTGCTGATCATTTTTATGTTTTTTTTTTATATAATTCTTTAACTAGGGAAACTTGTTTGTTGAATTTCTTATTCTATAATCATGTAAAATGCCATATAATATACAAAAATAGTTTGTTTCTCTCATTTCACGAGATATAATCGTCAGCAGAAATAAACATTTCCATCATATTCAGTATACTCCATAAATATTTTATCGAGCCCGCAGTATATTGAGCTATCTCACCGAAAGATACGGCTTTCGTAACAAGAGTGGATCGTAAATCTCGCGTAGTTCTCTCTTCAAAAGCAAATTTTTTATCGTATGTAGGAATTCGATCATCCCCACATGCTGCTACAGAAGGAATCAAGTTATCTGAAGAGTATGGTGCAGGAAACTGGCAAAGCAATGGCGGAGGCTCTGGCCAATGTCGCCCGGGACAGTTACCTGAATCGCACGACCACGAAGCTGTAAAACATCCTCAAACATCCTAATTTTTCGATAGATAGTTTCTAAAAAAGATTCCGTCTGTTCTTGTGATAATCATCTCTGAACAATTTTAGAGATTTGAATAATCACGTTAAAGAAAAAGACAAAATAGTTAAGAACTTAGCAAGAATTCTGAATTCTTGGAATTTAGAAATGTATCTTCAGAAATCATAGTACATTGAAAATTAACATAAATATCGTAAAAGGATCTTGATCTGCGTATATATAGAATGTATAATATGAAAGATTCTTAAGAAAAAAAATTTAAAGAAAAAAAAGATTGAAAATGAGGAAAAAGAGGCGAAAGATAAATATACCAAATGATTTAGATCGATATTTAAAAGTGAAAAACTTCTGTATGTCAGGATTTAAAAATTTAGACGTCAGATATGGATGAAGTATAGGATATGAGAGAAATAAGAGAAAGAAAGAGTAAAAAAGAGTTAATAAATATAAAGAAAGATAAAAGATTATATAACATAATCTAGAATTATGGATTCGAGGGAGAAAAAGAGCACTAGAAAAATATTTAAAGAGGGATTTAGATATATAAAGATCCTAGCGCGGGAATGTGCGAAAAAGAACATAGAGAACCGGCGAAACTTTTAGCAGAGGATTAATAAATCAACAATCATTTTTTACTGCGAGGTGCATAGTCTCGTCCAGCTGGTCTTCTTTCGGTAATTCTTTCTGCCTTTTTCTATCCAATGCCAGCGATGCAGCGAGCAATCAGAAAAAGCTCGCGTCGAACAACTGCAGTTACAGTATTATTACGTCATTTTTATATCAGTCTAACCCAGGCTCAGGAAGGATGAAGCTTTCAACAACGTTGGAGCATTGATCTCTTATCGATTATTAATGAATAAACGCTTTTTAGAAAAAAGTATATTATTATTTATTTATATTTTTTAAATAATAAAAGATTCAGTCAAGCAAAATATATACGAATAAAATATTAGAATGCAATTAAAAAAGATAATAACTCAAAATATGCATGTAAAGAGCTAGGAATATAAATCCGAAAGATTTGAGAAATAATTTTTTTGAGATTGACTGCTTCATGTTTAGACTTACAAATGAAAAATAATTTCGATAATTCAAATTAAGGACTCGATTGATCTTTAACATTTATTCTCAAGGATACAATTACCCTGACTATTTTTAAGCAATTAATTAATTCCTTTTTTCGTAGTTTATCTTAAAAATTTTATTCTCAAGAACTAGAATGGTTACTATAAAATCGATCGGTGGACCAACGAATTAAGACAAAACGATACTTAATGTTAAGAAAAAAAATTCTATTAATTTTTATACTCGTATATTTCTATATACATGGTGTCTGGCAAGGAAGAAAAACGGGTGACGATACCAAATTCGTGATTTATCTCTCAAGCGCGCGAGTCTTCGTTTCTTCTAAACTATCCCATGTATATCCGCGATTATACAAGAATTGCATAATGTTTCTACTGTTACACTGGTGCTACAAGAATAAGAAAGATCAACAAAAGGAGAACCTGCCACTGCACTGTTTAAAAACGAAATACTTAAACATGAGCAGTAATTTAAAGCATGCTACGTCGTTTTTTAGTACTCTATTGTTATTTTATATATTATTATATTGTTATATTAGTATTAAAATAATGAAGCGTATTGTACTCGATCTTTATGTAAATAATGCAACGTTAAAAAGCAACGAAAATCAAAGTACTTAATGTCTTTTTCAACGATCGTGTTTTATACTGATCAATTTTTCGTCGTGATTAGAAAAAGCGAAATAGTAACACATGGCGAGTATCCCCGTTTATCTCGATTACGAAAATAATTTTTGAACCCCTATTTTTTAATCCTTCTCCTATTATCGATATTTTTAAGATCTAATAATTTCAAGTAGTCATTTTAAACATAGTTTGTTTTTTTTAAATATATATAGTATAGTTGTATTGTATAATATTGGATTATGTATAGTATTTATTATATAAATATTATATTGAAATAATTATAGAAATGTTTTAATTAACATAGTTATATGAAGCCACATTTACTTAGAAATATTGATAGCAGGTCAAAGGATTAAAAAGGGATTATGTTTAGTTTTTCACGAGGATACATTCTGTGTCCTATGAAATGTTCGTATTATAATCGTCATCATTAATATTTATTATATGTGTAGATAGATGCATTGTACTTCCTTTTTTTTTAAGTGGAAACACGAATCACACTATCTTATACAAGTGCCTATTACGTAATCATTGTAAACGAAATATAGATACAAATTATATTATTTATGTAATTAATCTGTTATATATGTACGTTTTTCTGTAGTATCCTCTTCTTTTAAATTATAAAATTACACTCTCGCCTTTATGACGATTGCTATAAAATAACTTATATTCAAACATGTTGTCGATCTAGAGAAACGAGAAAACGCTATCAATCATATTATTACAAACATTAATTATATTCTCTTTAGACGACAGTGATAATTAAAATGACGTATAATTAAATTGTTGAAGACAAAATATAATATGCTTATGTTATCTTCTTTTACAAGAAGATGCGCACAAACTTGTGTTGATATTGGATCTTATAAATTCAGGTCAGATCTTAGGTCTTATAAATTCTTTGCTTATCTTACGAGAAAGATGAATTTATATCAAGTGAATCATAAATTAGAATCATATTTTAAAAATTTAACATCCAAGGATCAATATATAAAAGAAAAAAATTCAAGAAAACAATATTCTTGATTAGGTTGGTAAAGTACATGCAATTCTGAAGACGTTTGAAATGTTTTTTTATTATTTATCAAAATACATGAATTCATTTATTTAAAAAGATGGTCGAATCACTGAACGAGAAAACGAAAGAATCAATAAATAAGATTACATGAGAATTAATTATATATACTTATCTCGAGAAACACTAATTATTTTCGATAATTAAAATTAATCAACGAAATAGCGAAATGACACGCACTGTCTAAATCTAAATGGAAAATAAAATAAGTATAATAAAATGTAAATTATACAACTCTTAAAAAAATTGCGCTTATAGGATTATTCCCTAGATAGGATCTAGATATACACGGCATATACAAAGAAATATTCTTATGTCATCAAACATATGCGCCGCTATAAACAGTTAGAACATTTTACACGTGTAAACGGCTTTTTTTATTACTCACGCCGTCAAACAATCGACCAGTCATAATCAGACGCACGCTAGATAAATATTTATCTAGAATTATACACGTACGATCCCAACTTGTCTGTCGTCTCTTATCGATTAAACTATCTATAGTTCAAAAAAGGAGAGAGAGAACGTACGCAAATCGCGCTACTTCTAAGAATTCTAGAGAGACTTTATTGTCAAATACAAAGATTAATTGAATTAAATAAGTAAATCATTAAATAATTCATCTTATCGATAGCGACGAACAATGCAACGATAAGATCAATAAGAAAAATTAAAAAAAAGACAAATAAACGGCTCATTTGTGAAAGGGACACTTTTGCTGTTTTGTCACATTTGAATTCTATAAAAATCTTATCAAAAATTAATAAATTTATTTAATCCCATTTTATTATTCATCTTGCTCATCATATGAGATAACATTTGAAAAATTAAGAAAATACTTAGGGAAGATGTTGATAAAATTTTACGAAAAAAACGCAAGTCTCTAATTATATATGCAGTGAAATTAAAAAATAAGGCTCTGCTTTTTAATGATGTAACTTTTGGAAAGTTAAATCACGTTTTCCTATTTTCGAAAAAATAATTCCAAGTCCCTTTACAAGATGCAACCGTTTAAATGTAAAATTCTACACCTATATACTCTGCTTACCCGGCTCGCGATTATCCTTTGCAAGAATCCTTGCTGGCATCCTCGGCGAGACGAGTACACTAGTGTGTCGTAATACTGACAGTAAAGAGAATAATTGCTATCAACGTTAAAAATTAACCTTGCCCCTACTGTCTGCCCCTCTCCCTCCTCTCCTCCTCACTTCCTCTTATCTTTCTTCTCGCCTAAGTTACAATTATGAATCACGGTTACAATTATAATTAACTTATCTTCTATTTTATTTTTATTGTTTTCGCGATGTTTTTGTCATTTCTCGTAGTATACAACCTACGCAAACATTCCAGATTTCATACGCTGGGCCCCGATTCAATTCCCTGGAATAGACAATCGCTGATATATCTCTGATTAAAAAAATGTGATTAATAAAATTGTTTTTCGATTAAATTAAATTATATAATGTTTAAATTTATAAATAAACAATACAATAAAATATTTTAATAATAATAAATTTATATAATCGCGATTTTTACATAAATTAATAAATATGTATATAAATTAATTTGTAAAATTCCAAACATGTAATTTGAATCAAAAAAAATTCAGAAAAATATCTATAACATACTTTCTAGAAAATCCAGGAAACTGAAAATATTATTTCGGGGAGAATGTGATAATGATTAGCAAGCAACGATTACTGACATCGATTGTGCGCTCAGAGATGTCCAGGAATATCCGGTATAGAATATATCTTGTACGTCTATATATGTATATATGTATACACATATATATGTATATATATATAAAACAGTATAAAACGCTTATATATTAACGTCCCGAGGCAGTTGACGTATATTATATCGAACGATAATGCGAAATTATACCGTTATCGCTCGCGATAAATCAGCTTTTAGAGAAAATATCGCACAAATGTGACGCATCGGAGTGCAATTCCGCGTGATTATATAAATTTTTTTAACCACAGTTCGAATACACATTTAGCTAAATTTGCACGATGAAATAAGTGAATATACACATATAAAACAATTTACATCTTATATATTTAGATAAATTAATTTCCAAATTTTAACACAAAAACATTTAAGTACCTAAACAAATCTTTTCTTCCTTAAATCTCGAAACAAGAATTTAAAACCTTATTCACTAATTGAAGAATTGGTTGATTAAAATGTACGCAAATTTGTACATATAAATAAAACGCGGCTAGCTAAATAAATATAGATTTCCAATATATACAAAGAAGAGTGGTGATAAGCTTAAAAATAATAAAAATGATAGGACGCCAGTGATAACGGAACGCAGGTAATAAAATTCTCATCACGCGCGCGAGAAGGAAGACTGCGCATTTCTCATCTTTCCGTTCTTTTCGTCCATCAAACAATCGGAATGTTAGGATAGTCGAATCGATTCGTCGATTGTGTAAAGCAAATTCGTTTTTTCAAAAATTCGCGCAAAAAAAGTCGGATTTTTAAATTACTTATACGTGAAATTTTTTGACAATTACGTATTTTTTATGAGAATATAGCGATATTATTCAAAAAAAATTTCTAAAAAATCCAAGGTTTAATAACCTCGGACGATTAGATAGTAATGTGCATCCAGATATCGACGTTCTCTCTCGCCAGAGTACACAATTAAAGGGACAAAGAGATGATCGAAAAATGTGAAAATCTACTTATTTCAGTAATTCCATTGCTCCGATTTTTTTATCTTTATTGTCGATAACGTAATCGACAGATAGGTCTGCTATAAAAGAATTAAATGAAAAAAGCGAATAAAAGGAAGAGAAATTTTTGATGATTTAATTTCTTTTAACATTATTTCACCTTCAATGCTATCTAATACGGGTCTACTGAGAGAAATGCGGATTTCTGATATAAACTATTTTTACGATAATACAAATACTACTGTAAAGCAATTTTACGCGCCTATTACAGTTACTTATTTTATTTATTTATTTTTTTGATACTTTTAAAATTTGTTCCCAACACAGAATTCTAATTAATTGGTAGAAGTATAATCATCTTCTCATCTTATAATACAAATTTCCAAAAACCGTAATAATAAAAATCACAATCCAACAAAGAAACAAAATGACTTATAATTAATTGAATAAATTCATTTTTAATAACAACAGCAGGACATTTCGCTACAGAATCTTTTTCCTCTCTCTTGCTTTCGGAATGTTTTTACAATTTTCACACTATATTAAAAATTCAGTAATTGTCCGACAATAAAAAATGTGCAGAAATCACTCCACGTTTTTAATGTTCTCGAACTTATCGCGAATACAAATTCACACTTCGCATCGTCGATTCACACTGTCAGGCGATGCATTCGAGAACAGTTGCACCTCGCCAAGATGCATAAATATCCGTTTAGGCGTTTCCCTTTACGTAACTGCGCTCCATACCTACCAACTATAGGGTGTCTAAAAGGAATCGAGCAGATTCGTGTAAACTACGAAAATGATAGGATAAAAAATCACGTCTAAGATATCCAGAGATTCTAACGCGATTCTCGTTATCTTAAAATTGATTTTTTTCGACTAAAAATTGTAAAATCTAAATGTTGGGGAGCGTAAAATTTCAAACTGTAAATTCAGAAGAATCAAAGTTCTAAAAATTTATGTGGTAAAATTTCTGCTTGATTCGTTTTTTATGATGCGTGCAGCTGTTTTCTTTTATGCGGCAACGTACATACGCGACATAAAATCGAATTTGCTTTCCAATCATACACGACACGATAAGAAACGCAATTGTAACATAGTAATATAAAGCTACAATGTGGCTTTTCCACGTTTCTCGCGCGTTAATTCGAACCACCGAACTCAAAAAAGATTGTTCATTTTAATCTTAAACAAAAAAATTTTTTTATTAAATATTCAATGACACAAAACATTATTCTCGCATTCTTGACACATACAATTTATCGACCAAAATCAAAGGAATCGCGCGATTTTTTCAAAAATCGATATCACGGACAAAAATAGTCCTTTCATAGGATTTCAAGAAGGAGTAAAAGTTCTAAAAGAGATGAAAAACTCGAGTAAAATTTGTATCATCGAAATCGACATCGCACAATTTTTTCATCAAATCAAAGACAAAAGGTCCTTCCCGCGAGATCATCCTCGAATCAGAATGAGTGAATTTTTGAACAATAATAATCTTGAGAATCTCTGTTCGTGCGAGATCCGAATCAAGATCAAGGTCCTCTCGATGCCGCGACCTTCACGAAAATCGAATACTGAGTGATTTCGCTCGCGAGGATCGCTTAGAACGAACGGACATGAGCCAAAGAGCCAAAGATTCTAAACAAGGACCTCCAGACTCTCGCGCGAGCGAGCCTTTTGCTGTCCGCACTTGCCATTAGCCTGCACTATCATGGCAACCGATTGGCAACCGGTCTCAGACGCCATCGGTCGCATCGCCGGCATCGCCAACCTGAGCTTGTACCAGAATTTACGACCGCCGCTGCCAAAAGAAGCGGTCCCGTTGCCGTTGCTGCCATTGTTGCCGCCGTCCTGCCAGCACAAGATCGTCAATCGATCAAACGAGATCACGTCGACGTCGGGATGATCGCGTCGCGATCGCTTCGCAATCGTCGTCGTCGTGCTCGGCAGGCTCTTCAGCGAGATGACAATCGTCTTCATCGGCAACGATGACAGCTGCTTCAATGCCGCGCCAACGCTCGCGTCTGTCCAGATGTTGCCTAGGGATGCTGGGCTAAGCACGACAATGATTCGCCGGGCCGTGTTGGCGTGCGGGCCGATCTCCAAGCTCCCTAATAGTAATATGTCATATTTTTATATCAAATACAAATTATAATTTTTTATTATAATTTATTTAAATTTATAATTTATTTTCTTAAATCAGAAATTTGATTTCTAAAGAGATGTTTTTTAAAGAGAAAAAAAATCTTAAATTAGAGAAATTTTTCTTTTTAATTTGGGGAATTCTTGCGCGCTGATTTTCCAAATTAAAAAATGTGTCAATTAATTTCAGGATGATAATATGTCATATAATATAATAATAATATGTCATATTTTTATATCAAATAAAAATTATTATTTATTTTTATTATAATTTATTTTCTTAAATAAGAAATTTGTTTTTTAAAGAGATGTTTTTTAAAGAGAAAAGAATCTTAAATTAGAGAAATTTTTCTCTTTAATTTGGAAACTCTTGCGCGTTGATTTTCCAAACTGAAAAATGTGTCAATTATTTTCAGGATAATGAGATGGACTTTCTCAAAAATCCAGAATGAAACATATTCGTTGTTACAATCATTATGGGAGTGTACGAAAAAGAGAGAGAAATGTGCGAACAAACCTCGAATTTTCATCAGAAATGTCGCTTATGTATATGTCAGAATGTTTTTTTTTTTTTTGTGAAACGTATATTCGAGGTCCGATTACAGAGTCAACTCTCCGGTAGAGTGCTGAATTTTGCACGTACGCTCCCCTTTTTCGAGGCACTCTGGAAATATTGTCCACTGGCAAAGCGGACGGCTGTGGATTTCACGGACGATAAAGTGAAAGCAAACCGACGTTATGGTGCGAGCAATAAAAAGCTGACTACCCCTCCCTCCGCCTACTCTGGTAATGTATGAGTTTTACCTCGCGCCACCGTGTATATCCCAGCCTTGATGCAGGCAAGCTCAGCAAAAACTGATCGACCGAATAGATGCTGGCGTTACGCTCCGTTGTTTCCAGAGAAAACTTCGTTAACTTAGAATGGAACAGTGATCTACAATGTGCTGAATGTCTATGTATGTGTGTGTACATGTACGTGTATGAAAATGTGACGGAGTTTGATTAAAATCACTATTAAATCAGAGACTGTCGAGAAAATAGTGGCCCTTCGAATAGTATTCCGATAGATAGCTATCGAGGATGGCTCGACTCGGAAAATGTATCCTTCTATAAGATTCAGGAAGAAACGTTTTATGACAAAGAGACTTTGATTTGGCATCGTATGAATAATTTATCGCCGAGATAATTACAATAATTTTCTCTTTCACGGAAAAATATCTTGAATTTCTATTCTTATTAAGAGAAAAATTGAAACATGTTTACTTTTCAATAATTCCTTTTCTTAAACTAGTAAAATACGACTCTGACTTTATAAAATTATTTGCGATTTTTCATCGATGCGAACAAAATAATTTGCAAATCATGATTTTAATTAGACTGGGAAACTAATTAATAATCTGAAAAAAATATATGGGACTTGATAGAAATTTCATTCAATTAACGTGTCTTGTTAAAAATTTATTCGAGGTTTAAATAATATATATCAAACATTCATATACATACAATGTATTCGAAATTTTGATTAAGTTGAAATTTCCGAATCAACGGAGATCTCCCGTAAGTGTCGGGATTAATGAATCGCGTTAAAATCGATTGGCTCATCATTGTCATTCGCGGGCAACTTTGATGGGTCCATGAGGTCGGGAGAAAATTTACGACTCTCCTGCGGATACGCAAGATCTCCAGCATCGCTTTGACAGCGAACTTTGTTCACATTGACTATTAAACGACCGCAACCCACCGCTGCGAAGTTTGCAGTTCCGTTAAATCTCGAGTTCCTTTCGCTCGCGCCAGCCTCCCCCGGAGCGACTCTGCGGCCATCACGCGCAGACCGGATGCAAAGTCTCATAAGCCGTGTAATCGGGATATATAGAGTAATTAGCCGACGGAGTATACCATGTGCCAAAGGTACACGCGATCAAAGATACGAGTTGCCTCGAACACAGGCTACATAATGCCCGCATCGTGCACTTTAACGGAAGACGGATAAAATACGCTCCACTTCGCCCTGCAATCGGCTTAGAATAGTAAGATAGCTGCTCGGCTAATTAGCTCGTTCAATGTTGTTGTGTCCGGGAGCAAAGTACGGAATCTGACAAATGTACGAGACGGGCGTAATGCATCTTACACATTTGGCGTGATCAGTTTAGCAGGAAATAATAAGCCGAGCAATTAGAGAGAAGTATAGATATAATCATTTTTAAGATAATAAGGCAATTTAAACGATATATATTTAGGATTTAATCGATATATAATGTATGACACATCCTACACTTCATAAACTTTGCTCTCTCTTTCTCTCTTTCTCTTTTAAAGCAGGTTGTTATTTTAATTATATTCGTGTTATATATTTTATCACTTTTATTATCGGTAAAATACTCTCTTCAAAATTAATAAAATTCACCTCAATATTCTTCAGCTTCTGAATATTTAATATGGAAGATAATTTCCTTTCTCATATCTCTGTTATACTAATTATTTCATTACTAATATACATATTATTTTTATTATTATCAATTTTACTGTTAACAAAAATGAAATATAGAGAAAGTTTACAAGAGAAAGTTTAAAGTCTTCGTCATTTCTCTTCGGCTAGTTTCTCCTTTTTTTTCTATGCTCATTTAAAATCGATTAACAATAATTTCTAATAATTTCTAAAGATTTTTTTGAAATATTGAACGGATCCATGCAAACAATAATCATTAATGTTTCTTGTTAATAGTAGCACGATCTATATTTGTAATCTTTCACGCAATTAAAGATATTCTACTACATTTTTCCTTACTAGCAGAAGAACTATCTAATTATCGCAATATTTTATTATTCACCAGTTATATACATGTGTATAAAATTTTCTTATCATATCCTTCGCGATCGTTCTTACGTTTCTCCTCTCTATTTACATGGTCCACCGCACTCTCACCTATCTCTCGGTAACTTCTCGGTCCGAAAATGGCGCGGTGGTATATATCGAGGTCTCCGTGCACCTAATTCGATATCGCGGCTGCCGCGGAGACAAACGAGACACTCCACGAGGCCAAGAGAGCGGCGAACTTTCTAATTCAATTTGCCAAGTTGCCAAGTCGCCGTGATTCCCACGATTCCCGCTGAAGGATCCCCATTACTTCCGGTTATATCGCGGTCCGCGAAGACTACTCCCGCGTGTTTCTGTCGTGGATAACGATCCCACGACTTCAGGATCGGCGGTTCCTTCCGTGACACCCGCCCGGTTGTAAATTTTCCCCGTGATGATATAAATTGCCCCGACAAATGCCTACCTCCGCGACGTGAAATGGATCACGCTCGACCGTCGCGTGAGCAGCGAAAAAGAAGAAAAGGAAACGAAAAAAAACGAAGGAATTGCCCCACATTGTTAGCCACGTTGCGGCAATTTTGGTGCTGCAATTGGATTGGTAAAGAGCGATGGAACAAAAGAACGAGTCCGCTCCGATATTTTGTCCGCTGACTAGTTTTCTATGGTTTCTACGCGAAATTCGATCAGACTGAAAGAGCCTTTGTAATTCTTAGGACATCCACGTAATTACATATTTTCACGTTTCCATTTGAGAGAGATAGATTTCGACTGAAATTTACGTTTCATATATGTCAATATTAAAGTAGCAAAAATATTTAAAAAAATTATGTTAAAATGATCAATCTAATTTCGATATATTTCTGAATTGGATTTTAATAATATTTTGCATTTTTTAATTTTACATTACACTTCTATTCCAACTATTTGCATATCTCGATTCGACGCGGTCTTAATTTGCTTTAATCCGATTTGATAAATAAGAAATTCAATTCTCGCGCATCGCTTCGCACATCACGTTTGATCTTCGGCCTAATTTGCATCCGCGCTCTCAATTAAACCGTCCGGGAAGCGCGGGCGTCCTTATTACGCGCCTCTAATTCCTAGTTTATCTCGAAACCGCGATCGATCTCTGTGTATTCTCCGCAAAGCTAATTCAATTCAACGCTATCACACCACAATTCAAGGGGGGGGGAGAGAGGGAGAGAAGTGGCTTTTATTTGGTGCTAATTCATAAGCTGCACCCCGTAAAATTGTTTATCGATCCGTGTCGTCATCGCCGAATGGACTATGTAACAGTAATTCGTGGCCCACATTCGCCACTATATTCGTGCTACTGAATATTTACCTTCCCTCCCTCACCCCCCGTCCTCTGCGGCGCTTATACTTGCCGCATCGCCGCGGGACGCACCGCAAAATAAACTCCATAGGGAGTCTATCGAGCGTAAGTCGTTTCTCTTTTTTCTCTCCATTCTCTGTCTTTTCTTTGTTTTTAAAGGAGAAGAGTCTCGTTCCTTACGTAACGCGATAAGAATCTCCTGCAGAATTGTACATAATGGGTGTCATAGATGGAATACATCTCTGATAGCTTCGCTGCCTGTTCGCAGAGAATCTGATTCAGAAAAGCGAACAAACGAATAAATAAATAAGACAATTAAAAAATTTTTTTCAAAAGTGTTGAGGATGTTACTGAAGAGAAGATTGAAGGAAGATTTTTAAAGAAAGCTGGTAATCTTCTTCGAGATGAGACTCTGATATTACGTCTGCTACTGCGACTACGTAATTATTCGAAGGAGGTCGTCGCTAATTAACGGGAAGGTTTACTCACAATTGTGATTCTGGTGAGACAGCTCCAGCGCCGTGCACTTGTATCGATGCCTAGACTCCAGGGTGGGTATCAAGATACCGATCACCAGGTTGGAGTCCTTCTCGTGATAACACACCAGTGCGTCGCATTCCTTCCCGTCTGCAACATACAATCATACGTGTTCATCTCTTCCCTTGCACCTAGATCACAAATCTAGTAGATGTTTAATCTTTAGATGGTCTAAAGAAATGGGCTCTTTTTCAAGATTTTGCGATATATATTTCTTTGTAAGGATTCTTCTTTAGAATTTTTAGAAAAAAAAAATTTTAATCTCTCGTTTTTCTAATAATTTATAATGAAAACATTTTTCTGTTATTCCAGTTTTTTCAAGTTTTCCTTCCTTCTTTAAAAAAAAGATTTATATTCAAAGATATAAAACAATTTTAAGGAATTTTTATAAAACTCTTAAAAATTATATATATTAAACGAAATAATTTAAAAGGAAAAACACAGATCAACTTGATTCAAAGACAGATCACGTGACTTTTCAGCACGATAAAGGAATGTGATCGCGCATTTCGTGTAATATTCTAGGGATATTCGCGCCCCTTTATGAATATAAAGCAGAAATTTGGCGTCTCTCCGCGAGCCATTCGATCGTGAGAGTGAGTTTAAATGGGACGAGGGGGTAAATGGGGGCGAATGTAATAATTCGCGCATTATCGCTTCCGTTTACTCGAAATTTATACTCGCGTAGTCAGAGCCGCGTGTAACCGTTCACTCGAGAAATAGATTAAATCGTTATCGCCTGCACACTATTATACGCATAAAACGTCCGATAGAGGTAAATAATGTGTTCCATAATGGCGCTTATATGACGCAACCGGCGGTTAAGGAAATCGGTTATGATGCGCTTTTACCTTTTATCATAATCCCGATGATATTTACGGATCGTTTATGGAAAGCTTAAAGATTTAAAAAGGAGAAAAATTGAAAGAATAATATCCGCGAAGATTAAAGTCATAATTGATTCAGAGGTCGCTTAAATAATTAAAAAATATTGCTTGATAGCTTGCTTTGTATTAAAGTAGGATACAGAATGTATATTAAAATTTTCCCCTATTTTGAAATTAGATATTTTATTACTAATTTATTACTAAATAAAAGTAGAGTTGTATCTTTTTTGAAAAATGTAATTTATAAAATGCAGTGTAAAAATAATAATTTATAAAATACACAAAGATACTTAAAAAGCAAATTTTTTTTCTTAATTTAGTTTTTTTATCATTTATATTGTTCTGCTGACGTAATATTGCGTTATTAATTTAATGATATTTATAATGGCGTTTATATGACGCAATCGGCGGTTAAGGAAATTGGTTACGATGCGCTTTTATCTTTTATCATAATCCCGATGATATTTACGGATCGTTTATGGAAAGCTTAAAGATTTAAAAAGGAGAAAAATTGAAGGAATAATATCCGCGAAGATTAAAGTCATAATTGATTCCGAGTCGTTTAAATAATTAAAAAATACTGCTTGATAGCTTGCTTTGTATTAAAGTAGAATATAGAATGTATATTAAAATCTTCCCATATTTATATATTCTGAAATTAAATATTTTATTACTAATTTATTACTAAATAAAAGTAGAGTATCTTTTTTGAAAAATGTAATTCATAAAATATGGTCTAAAAATAATAATTTATAAAATGCACAAAAAATACTTAAAAAACAAATTTTTTCTCAATTTGATGTTTTTAATATTTATGTTATGTTGTTGATGTAATATTTAATTATTAATTTAATGAGACTTATACTAGCATATTTTTTACAAATAAATTTTTAAAAAAATGTTTGAAAATTTATGAAAAATACTACATCTCTGTAGTTTATTTTATAACATAAAAATTAACTTGAGCAACACATAATTTAAAGCAAAAGGAATATTTTCGCCCTTTCCTGTCCAGGAGTATTTCAAATTATTTAAGACAAAAAAAATTCGTAATTATATGAACAAAAAATTTTTTTATAATTATATATGCGTTTCCCATATTCGATATTAAAACAAAACGATTTATCAGGCGAGTATGCGTTGTTTTCAATCATAAATTCCCGAAAATTTCTAAATTCTAAAATCCATTCGAAAAAATTTTGAGCGACAAAAACGTGACTTTGTTGCGCTCAATTTCTCACGAGCGGATGAATCTTCCATGACATCGCCGCCTTGTACGGGGATGACGAGTGAAAAAGAGAGAAAATTACGGCGATTATCGATAAATTCTCGGAACGCGCGGCACGGGACGCTACTTCGTCATTAGCGATCGTTGCGGTGAAGTCAGTTTTCTCCGTCGTCGGCGAGATCCTCGGTGACATAAGCGACGTATCATTTCTGTGTCGACCTAGCGTGGTGCAGCCGGCCGGATAATGATATCTCGTTGCATGGTTAATGCCACAAATTGCGGCTTCGCATAATTAGGACCCGACACGACGCCGCAATTCGACGAGACACGAGAATCGAAAAGAGACATCGGGAAAATGACTTGAGAAGATTTAGGCTGTCATTTAGAGACCTTTATGTTCTCTGAAACTTATTTAGACTTCTAGAAAGCAGAAAATTCTAGGAAAGATATGAGAGAATCTTGTACGATTCAAAACCCAATCATTTCTCAAAATTATAGATAGGTAAATTTTTTTAAGAATGAGAGAAGTGATTCTTTGGACGTAATATATTTGGAATTTTAATTTTCTAAAAAACAAAATTTAAAAAAAAACTAATTCTAAAAATTTCTTGAAAAAAAGCAAAACTTGAAAATTAAATGCTTAAACATTAAATGCGTAATTAAATATCGATAATATATAATCTTTAATTAATTTAATTAATAAGTATCAAATTATTAAGCATAATAGGGACAGTTTTATAATGAGTTATATTATTAAATCGTTCATATTAGAGCACATTTGAAATATTGAAGCACCAGGAAACGACACGGAAAGAGAGAAAGAAAGAAAGGGAGCGAGAAGCCCGCATAAAATCCTTTGAAAGTTCCTGCCCTTGGCGGAATTAGCGTTACTTAAGTAAATTGCGAGAGAGTAGGAAGAATTAAAGTGCGATCAGTGGTGAGCAAAAAAAAATAAAGAAAGGAAGAAAAAAAAAAGACATGGCTCATTAAGCTTCAACTAAATCGAGGCTCCTATTTATGCGAGCTCTTCCTATAAGAGAGAATGTCCCGCAGAAATAAAAAGAAATAAACATTGTACTTGTCTTTTGTATCTTGCAAAAATATTTCTTCTTTTCCTTGCTTTTAGAAAGATTGAAATTCAGTAAAAATCTTCTTATAAAATCTTTTAAATTTTTACTTTCATAGAATTCTTTTTTCAATTTTAGGCTATATTTTTAAGAAATTAACTCTTGTGATTTTTTTTAAATTGAAATAAATAAATAGATAAAATATTGTTCTTAATTGTCATGAGAAGAGATTAAAAAACTAAAGTTTAATTTTTAATCTTTTTTCATTCTTTTCTTTAAAATACATTATATATTTTTATGAATTATTATGAATTAATTGTTATTCTCCCACAATTTTATAAAAGATAATATATAAATTTTAAACAGTTAGATCTTTTCTCTACAAAATTAATCTTCTAAATTTCCCGTTCAAGATAAGCAATCTTATAAAAAAAAATCATCTCTTTCAATTTGCAATATATAAGACTTCCTAAACGATGCAATTGAAAAAGGAGAAAAAAGGACTTTGCGAAGGATATTAAAACGCAAATGTCCGTGAAAGGATTCTCGTGGGGCTTGGTTCGCTATCAGCATTATTTAAACAAATCGAGAGAACAACGAAGCGGGACAAAACGGGAGGTAGGAACGACGGGAAAAGGAAGCCGGAAGGATTAAAGCGGCGATTGGCGGCATAAGGGAAAAAGGAAAAAAAAGGATCAAGGAACAGCCACTTTAATTTCCATACCGGAGTCTCGCGGTACTTCTCACGGTAATTAAGAGTCGCAATTAAGTGGGCGAAAAAGCGTCGCTGATAATTATCCGGCAGCGCCCCAAATTTGTTGCCGCGAAAAAAGACAGACCGGTAAACGAGAAGCAAACGAAGTCGAAGCGAGGATCTTTAAAATCTCCTTAGAATCTCCTCGGGATTAGGGAGCGAAATCCTCGCGAGCCAAGTGCGACTTCGGATTTTATGTCCGACCGTATTTCCGTCTTTAGACAATGAGATCCCCACTGTTTAAGGATCTTTGAATTAGAAAAGTTTGGGGAGGCAAGGATACAGTGTTACATCTACAAAATTAAACCCCAATCCATAGAGATTCCTGGCACATTTTTCCAATTCTAAGATTTTGAATTTGTACGAATCTCTTTCTATTATATTTCGTAAAAGCGTATTTTTATTTTTAAATTAAGAAATTCTTGCGTTTTAGAATTTTCTTAAATATTTTAAAGGAAAAAATTTAGGAAAGAGATTACGTCTTGATCCTACCAAATTGAATGCTAGTTCTTGGCTTTCTTTAAAATCTTTAAAAATCCTTTCAAAATTCCAAAATCCAAGGATTTTAGGATTTTCTTAATTCGCAGATTTCTTAATAGAATTTCTGTTTTCGAGTGATGTGGATCGTGCGAAGAAATTATTTACGAACTCACCGTTTTCTTCGAGGCGACCAAACTTGTCTTTGTAGAGTAATGCGAGTGGCAGCCAGCAACGCGCATAAAATGCACCAGCTGATAGTAATAGGACGAGGACGAGGACTGCCAACAGAAGAGACTTCCGCCAGGATCCGTTTGGAAGGCTTAACGCGAATTGCGGTTCTGCAAATTGAAAACAAGAAATTCGAAATACAAAAGAAAGTTAAAGCATAATACAAATAGAGAAAAATATTCAATTGGAAAATTTGACAAGCAATTATCATCTTATTCTATGATTACTTGATAGAAACAATGAATCTTGAGAGTTAAAATTTTCGATTAATAAATATATAAATAATTTTCGAAAATACGATTAATTAATTATATACATATATACACATATATTCCCATTATATATCAAAATAAATTGATTAAAATTTTTTCAAGATTTTAGAAATGTTTATCTTTACATAAAATAGCATAAAGTTCTAATAGAAACAATGTTTTAATATTAAAATATTTTATGTTTTAACAGGAAATTTTAATAAAAAGTTTCGCACAAAATTAAAACACACATTTTTTAAATGCATTGATATTAGAAAACAACAATAGGACAATAGGACAATAGGATAAACGTCCATGATGTTTAATTTGGTAATAAATTAAATTTGAGGTTCATTTAAAAACGAAAATGTATTGCTGCGTAATGTGTTGTATTAATTTAATATGCGACTAGTTTGTCATAATAATTAAATTCAGATAAAATAAATTTCAGTGTTGATATGCGGTTTGACAGGCAGATACATTTTGCGACCGTTTCCAATTTTAGTTATTAAAATGAATTCAATGCTAAATTCTTTTTACGCGAAAATGCATCGAAATTTAGCGAACACATTTTGTATCAAACCGTAATAAACTGTAATAGCCTGGTTATAATGACAAACAAGATTATTTTGTCATCATATTTCAGATTTATTTGAAATAAAAATTTTGAAAATCGCACTCACAGAAGTAAATATTAAATTTAAAGAAATATAATAAATTAATAAATTGATAAAGAATTAGACTCTGTTATGTATTAAACAACACGATACACGAGAGAAGAGCTATAAAGAGCCACGCGGTAATGCGTAAAATTTTATTAAAGATTAATTATTCGCGAAAATTAGAACGTGCACAAGGCATATGCATATATTTTACTTGGTATATTTACCAAGATATAGATTCTCATTTTTGAAAAATATATTATACAAACATTATATGGATATTAAATTTTTAAAATTTTAATGATATTTTAGAATAGCATTGTTCAATTAATATCTAATTTAAAGAAGTTTGATTTTTAAAATTATTTTGTTTACTGAAACTAATAGCATTATGTATTATAATGGAAAATATTTTTCAATAATGAAAGAAAAATTAAAAGTTTCGAAATATTTTTACTAACCTTGTCGGTATAGATGAGCAGGCAACGTAATCTCCTCGTCGACACCATTGCTGACTTCGCATTTGTACTCGCCATAATCCTCGAGAGTAACGTCCTCGATCTCCAAATAAGAGCCGACTATCTTATCGTTCTCTCTGCAAACACAGAAATGCGCATAAAAATTATTTAAACTACCTCTAAAAGAAACAGGCTAAAGCTTTCTAAAATTCAATTCAGAAAAAAGGACATTTAAATATAAGTAATTTTTTATTTTTTGAGATATCAAGAAAATTTTGGTTTAATGAATATTTAGCTTAATGTATTATTAAATAAGTAAATACTGATTAATTTTTTTTTCTTTAATCATAGATTTAAGAAATTAGAGGTTTGCAACGTTGAAGACTTGCGTATCTAAAAAGATTATTATATCAAAATTTCAATTTTTAATTATTTTTAATTATTTTTAATCTTCTACTGTATCTCATAAAAATCTTTGTCAACATTTGATTGCCAAAATATTTATCAGTCGTTAAATTTTCAATAAAAATAGTTTAAGAATTTTTCCAAGTATCTCTCATAAATCTTATGTCATCAATCTACATTTAGAAAAAGTTACGTGTCCATTCTATTCCTTGACATAAATTTAATAAAAAATTTTATCACGGACATTCGCCATAAATGAATGCTGTTCCCTGAGCTATCTAAAACTTTTTAAATCTCGAATTACACCTCGCGCACAGACATTACAATGCGAAAAAAATGCTGCCTTACTGCGCTTTTTTTCAGGCACGTTTTACAATCTAGAATACATTGAGGAGCACGTATGTGTTTTTTGCACCGCCGTAATCGTTTTTTTCTTTTCTTTTTTTCTTGGTAGCTGTCGACCGAATGGTTGTCTCTCTTCTATCCAAATTTTCCTTTCTCTTTAAAAAAAAAAAAGAAAAAAAATCCGTGTTTTATTTTGCAGTGCGGCGAGCCATGCGAAAGAGTCGAGCGAGTCCGTGCGTCCTGTTACACAATCATTTAACGCATGGAACGTTTCGCCATGCTAATTTAATTACGAGTGGCCGGGCGACTTACCCGTGCAATTAATTCCCACCGCATAATTTCATTCATTCGGCCCTTTCGCTCGTACGTTCCCTTCGCCTTCGGTTGTAGCGCAACAAAAGCACACGTGGAAATGCGGATGCAAACAAATAAATTTGGCGTTTCGTACCCAACGAATATATATATATATATATATATAGAGAGAGAGAGAAAGAGAGATAGAGAGATAGTGCGTCCAATTAAAGTTCGATGGAATAAGCTAAAACCAATGAAAAATTAAAATAAATTAAAGTATTATTTAATTGAATAATTATTAGATGATTTTGCGAAATCTAATTATAAAAAGATGTAATGACATAAGGGTTGAGTTATCATAATAAAAGTACATTTCAAATTCGCAAAAGCAATCAAATAAGAAAGAAGACAAGGAACCAAAGACGCAGGTGCGTGATGGTAATAATATATTATGATAGAAACTTTGTAAAATCATTTATATCTTACATACAATAAGAAGCGCAGACATATATGTTTAAAATGTATTGTCGACGATCCTGTTCTGAGGCCTATCATTTGAACCTTTATTTTTACATTTTTATATTTTTACAATTTATACTTTTTCAATCCAATTCAATTGATAAAATTCACAAAATGTAAAAATTTCGTTCGATAATTAAATTTCGCCAAATTATTTTATCTCTTGCATAAACATCTGCGATGTTTCAGGTTACGGTAAATTTATGGAAATGTAGAAAGTTGGAGAATTCGTATAACATTACTCTACGATTTTAAAGTCAGATATGATATTACGGAAGTACAATTCATGGTATAATCTACACATTTAGAAAGATTTACACATTAACGCGAACAAAATGGATCGATGTATAAATTCTCCGCGGTTTTAAACAATATTATAACTTTGAGAAGATGATACATTCCTTCCGGTATGTCAAGATAATTTCATCAATTCATTTCTATCATTTTCTCGCAAAATATTAAATTTTCAAAAAATTTTAAATTATTAAATTTTTAATTGCTTTTTCAAAATTCACGTAAAAATTCCGCGATATTGTGGGAAGATTCAGGGAGACGAATATCTGGTGAATTCATCTGTGTGTGTCGTTCTGATTAAAATTCGATTTGCCACGATTTATCCGATCTAAAGGGTGGAATCGAGCGAGAATTTGGCAGCTTTTCATCCCCGCGTCGCCGACCCGATTTCGGGCGCTGTTTGTCGTTCGCTGCCCACTATTTAGCGGATCGGAGCACGCCCGAGCGTGACGTTTATGTGCTCGCGATGACATTTATGAGAATCGTGCAGTTTGTACATCGCCGTACCGTCTCGCTTTCTCCGCAATTTACCAGCCACGCCGGCCAAATAAATCGCGTGCGCTCTCGCGATATCCGTGGCATGACACAGTCGATAATAGATCGAGGGGAAGAGGGTAGCTGAGCTCTCCGTCTCTTTCGCAAGTCGTGTCAGGCGAGGATGCTGGAGTTCCATATACACCGTGAGCATTTCGTTGCAAGAGGCTTTTCGTCAAATCCGCTTTGAAGAGATCCTTGAAATTTTAAGTCAGCGGAAAAAAGGCCATGAACGTTCGAACGTCGTCGCCGAATCGATGCTTGAAATATATATTATTCGAAGATCGTTGCGATTTAGAGTGATTATGTGCCCTAGACCTTATATTGGGTATCCCTTCCAGGTATCGCGGCGGCTTTTTATTCGATTAAACTGACGCAAGCATCATCGATTCATTTCTACGAACGCTATAAATTCCTGCTCGTTAAATTGATTAAAACTATTCCAATTGATGGCAGTATATATACGTCGAATTTTCATGGTCAATAGCTTCCGGCGCTGATCGATTGATCGAAAAACTGAGTGTCGAAAAAAATATATCGCATAATATGTATTATATGTATCGATTAAAATATATAGATAAGATTTATTTTTTACGTGTAAATAAATTTGCATATAAGAATATTTTAAGATTGTGATAAAAGTTAACACTGATATTATTATTTATGATTTTTTAAATATTAGCGAAGAAATATTATACGAATCGATAATTAAAAATATATAAATGGTTTGAAACGATGATTTTAATTATTTTTCATCAGGAAATTAAAAAACGATCTTTTTTTATATATCTATGTAACGTAATTTGTTTTATTTTGGTCTTTTAATCGAATGAAATTTATGATTGACAATAGAATAGAAAAATATTGGAAAAAGTACAATGAAATATTGACTAAAATAATAGAAAGTAAAAAATTTATAGTTTGTTTATCAATTTAATCTAGTTAATAGTTTTTTAATCAATTTAGTAACAGATTAATCGATACATATATATGTACATATGTATATAAAATTAGAAGCTATATAATTATGATATTATGTTCATAATATACAATACAATTGTAATACGCACATATAATATTATATAATAATATAAACTATATAATATATAAATGTAAAAAGTGTAACAATAGTGATTATGTAACGTAATGAATAAAAAAGTGATTAATACATTGTTTATCACAATAGTAGTTTTTACATTGGTCTACGCAATTGCTTGCACTGCAATATCGTGTAGTTTCTCTTTTAAAGATTAGTTGGCCGCAATTAACGGTTAATTGCCGGCACAATTGTCGCAATTATTGCTCGATACGGAGCGTTAGAAGCGGTCTTTTTACTTAGAAAATTTCGCATCATGCTCGTTTGGCGAACGCGATCGTGTGACACGATATCGAGTTCCGATTGAGTTCGATTCGTATCCAATTTTAGTATCCGTGTCACCGATATATATCTAATTTTTCCACGTCGAGTTGCATTTATAGACATGCATTTTAATGCTCGTTTCTCGGAATAGACGATCGATTGCGTTTGGAAATGAAGAATTCTCTTTTTTCGCGCATTATTTTATAAATATACATATACAAATATTTCGAAAGCGCATTAGAATATAATCGCGATAAGTTAAACGGAATATTATAAATTCTCAAAATTTATAATAATTAAAAATATCCTTGCAAACAAATAAATATAAAAATACCAAGAAAATATTTTTAAAAATATTGTTTTTATTTCAGGAACAAATCGCTTTTTCAGTTTGAAAGTTTATTCCGATTATAATATCCCCTCGAGTCCAAATAATTCGCGTACGTAAGAGACTTACTTTTTAATAACGAGAAAAAAAGTTAATTAGATATAATCGGACAAATTAGATGAAATATCTTGCGTAAGCGTGATGCCATAATTACTATAATCGCAATTTGCATTAGTGACAAAATAAATCACTCAGGAAGCGGAGAACGCAAAGTGCACGTGTATAAATAAAAAATAAGCAGTCCTTATCTCCGCATCAAGGGAAGCGTCACGTGAGAAACACGTGCAACGTAAGTGCGAAAGCAAATTGGTTGTAGAACGAGATGCGTCGCGTGACAAATTAGCACGTTCGCGGGGGAGGGAAAGGATAATTATTCACGCGCCGTGTTTTCTCTCTCCTTTCCCCTCCGCCCTCTCACCTTCCTTCGTTCGAACGATAATATCCCGCGATTAACGGATGCGTTTAAATCCCATAAACTTGACAGTCGAAATCGGAACAAGCGCACCGATAATGCCCGATCGCTAATTTAATCGAGCAAATCGCGCGTAAATCGATCATATTAGCGAACGAGCTCGACCCGCTCGAAATGGCGAAATGTCCGGTATTAAGCCTCGTCTGCGAATTAACAATGACATGTTTTATTATAAACGACGAGATTCGTCCGGGTTTGGCGAGAATGCGAAATACCTCGAGACGTACATAACGATTTATTTATCGATTTGATTTCTGAGAGCGAGCGAAAATTTAAAGCTATAAAATTATTCCGCGCTATTTAATATTGACAAGATTAATCCTTAAATAATTATTCAGATTAATAATATATTTATTATATATTTTTTTATATTTTATTTTATTTATCTTTTAAATAATTTTTCTCTCATTTCGTGTATTTTTTGCAGGAATCTGTTTAAGATTTCAATTATTAAGACTTCAACGTATTCAGAAATAGCTACTTCGATTGCGCTATTCTTTTCCAAAATATTGAAAAATTGCGTTAA